CCATCGGATCGCAGTTCGAGGCGGAGCGTGCTCTGGCCGATCTGAGGACCGTGAGTCGCGTCGTCGGTGACCCGCGTGATTCCGAGGAGTACACGTATTGGGAGACATCATCGCATGACACTCTCGCCTACGCCTTTTACAGCGTGCCGGATCAGTACAGGAATGTCCCAGCAGTGAAGTCCGCCTCGCGCATTTTCGACCAGATTCCCGACGGCCAGCTCGTGCGACCGGACAAACCGGAGCCTGCGGTTCTCCGCCTCAGCGCGGTGAAGGGCACTGAAGACCCGGAGGAACCTCGAGAGGCTGAAGGAGGAGTCCATCAAGAAAAATGTGGTCATCCTCGGCGCCAGGAGAGGCGAAGATATCGCCCCCAGGATCGGAAACACGATCACTACTCTGTGCGCCAAGATCGGGGAGATTGCCCGATTCCTGGAGATGGGAGTGAGGTCCAGAGCAGGACCTATCCTCCCGACCAGGAGTGACCCTGACCTGATGATTCAGGCCATTGTTCCCGCACCCGAGGAACTTCTGGACTACTTCGCCGACGAGATCCGTCAGAAGGACGGGCGCCTCTTCGCACTACTACAGGAGAGCATGCGCGGAAATACGCGACGTGCTCCGTGGAACAGCTGTGCAGCCTGGAAATGCAGGTGCAGTCAAGGACCCAGAATTGGAGGCCTCGTCTGCCAGCGGGCAAGGGAACGTCACTTCGGTGATACAACTGAAGAAGTTCCTGAGCCACTACTTCGGCACCAGCGTCGAGTCTGAGGATGCTTTTTCATCGTACCTCCTCTCTTCCTTCCTCGAAGACGGGGTGGGAATGTTCGAAATCATCACCACCGTCATTCGTGACAAGGAGCGTCGGTTGCTGCCTGGTTCCGCCCGCATAGCGGCGGTAAGGTCGCTTGAGATCGGATCCGACACTGATTACCGAGCATTTCGTGAACGATACCAATACATGCTCTACGAGAGCCCTGTTTGTCTTCCTATCACATCCAAGGTGGTTCCCAAGACACTCTACAAGGTGGTGCCTCTCCGGATGTATCGGCTCTACGTAGAACGTGGGGCGATCATTCGGGGTGGGCGAGCTCTGATCGAGCTCCTTCCCTCTAGGCCGGATGAATATCAATCCCTCCGCGATCACGGAGAATGCCCCAACGACACTGTCGACCGCATCACCGACAGCAATGTGACGGAGCTGCACACCTCGGGTCGACGCCAAAGGAGCGATCCCCGATATGTGGTCATGGCTATCGATGCACGTTTCTTCTCCATGGAAAATGGGGGCATGCATATTACTCGTCAGGGTACCTTTGCATCGCGCGAGAACATCGCGATCGGGTACTGGAGATGCGTCTACTTCAAGGAGGACTGCTCCATCATTTACCTGAGGCCTTGGTGCTATCCGCCCAACTTCCTCAACTCCGTGAGTGATAACCCGAGGAAGTGTCGGGACGAGATGGAGAAGTATCACCAGATCACCAAGACGGAGCATGTCCGCGAGGTGGTGTCCGCTCCATGCCATAGGTGCATGACGGCCCACCCGATCGGCGCTCACCTGTGCATCGCCTGCTACCTTCCCATCTTCTATGAGGGCGTCCTGCCCACCGGAGACACGAACGGCGGCCCTCGCACGATAGCGAGCACCGACGGGGTGATTCCTCCCTGGCTGGCAAAATACGAGGGCGTCGTCCCCGCTCTGTGGAACACCGCAGACGCCAACGCCATCGGAATGGCCCTCTACTCGCAGAGTCCCGCCGTCGATGCCCGGTCCTTGTTGATGTCAGGGATTCGGCCTCCTAAGTACCTCGACAAAGAGGACGTGGATGGCATTTTCCGAAAACTTCACGACTCGCTCCGAGACGAAGTTCTTGACGGCAAGTACCGTGACACGGTCGACCACAACGTGGAAGAGTGGGTCGCAAAGGCGATCTTGGTAAGGGGTCTTGCCTTCAACGGGAGCTCCGTCCCCGACTTCTTCGAAGAATATGAGGGATATGCGGCTGAGTGGGGCAGACGCCTAACCACCGCAAACTTCAACGCCAACCGGTGCGGCTTTTACACGTCCTACTACATGGTTGAGGCCCATATCATTGGGCTGAGATCAGGGCACCTTTCTCCGATACTCCCCAACGATGTGTCCGGGGAGGGGTTCAAGGCCCAGGTGGGGCTGCTCGCACAGCACTGCGGGATAATGCAGGCCATGCGGAGAAAGGCCGGATTCGATCCCGCCGCGCGCCTCAAACAGGCCATGGACACGATACGGGAAGGCATTAAGAAGGGATACATCTACACGCTCAACGACCTCAGCAGTATGGATGATCTGATCTACCGGACGTCCACCGTTGCCTACGACACATGCTTGGCCGACCGTCCTCAAACCCAGGATGACATCAAACAGGAGCTGGCTGACCCTGTACCAAGGAAATACCGCTTCCGACCCCGCGATCGCCATCGACCCGGAATTCGCCTTACACCAGGCCCCGGCGTGAAAGACGAAGACGAGCCCGACTTTGCTGGATCAGCGGAGGATGAGCTGGGATCGGATGGGTCTTCGCACAAAGATGACGAGAAGCCTGACGACCTTGACGAGCCCATGGGCGACGACGAGGAGGAGATCCCTCCCCCTCCGCCACCGCCCCCGGCTCCTCCTGCGCCGCCTATCCCGGTAGAACCGGAGACTCCCGTGGTGTCGCACGCAGGCGTCGGTTCTGGCGAAGCTGTACCAACTCCTCCTCCTCCTCCTCCCGCTCCCATTGCTGCAGGCGTTACCACGGCTGGGGATCCGTTTGAGGAAGAGGACATGGCCATCAATACTCGTGTCCCTGACACCGAGTCCGAGCTGGAGGGTGAGTCCGACCAACCCAAGGCCAGGAGGACATCCCGTGGTCGGGTCCCCGCGCCCGAGAAAGGGCAGGGGGGCGTTCAAGTCCCGCCTGGCGGGCAACCCAGCTCTAAGAGCATGGCCCAGCCTGCCCGTCCATCCCCGGTCCCCGCGAGAAGCGGTGCGGAAGGGGGGGAGAGAAGGGGCAGAACCAAGGGCTTCTACACCCAGAAGGATCCTTTTACCGGCGAGGACGCGACTCCCCGGGTTCGTCTTCGATCGGGCGGTCCCGGAACTCCTGCGTCCCCACCACGGGATGCCACCGGTTCCTTGGGCGGCCATGGCGGCTATGACCCGCGCGATGACGACAACGATGAGCGGGAGCTTCCCCCGCGCGTGCCTCGGACCACTCGTGCGGCCAATGAGTCACGGCCCCACCGAGATGACGATCGGTCAAGGACCGCGCTTGGGGCCCGCGAGGATCGTCGCGGCCCTAAGGGTGAGGGGAAGGGTCGAGGAAAACATCGACCTGGCAAAGGTGGACGCGAGGATCCTGGCCCGCCCCGACAAAGGGATGATCGTGGCAGGGATACCCGCGGAGGCCGACGCGATGATCGCCGACCTCCTCCACGTCATGAGGAGCCATCCGAGAGGCGCGGTCCGGGGCGAGATGAGCGCCGCGGACGTGATGACCCGGCTGATGACCGTCGCGATCGCCACCGGGACCGGCGCAGGGATGACCGACGTCACCAATCAGATCCCCCTCCGCCTCGCCGACCTCCGGCTGGCGACCACAGTAGGGGTGGTGGTGAGGATCGCCGTCGGGATGGAGGAGGTGATCGAGGTGACCGCGGTGGACGCCGGAGAGACGACGCGCCCAGAGACCGGGAAGAACCTGGTTCAGGGTGGTAGGCAGGTACCGCGATCAGCATCCGCCTTAGAAGGGCGAGGATGGCACGTGTGTCGCCGAAAAACGCGACCGCGCCGGTCCTCCTCTCGCCCATGCGGCACTGCTGGGGGTGATGGTCTCCATTGCCCTGTACCGCTGATCCGGCGTTGTTCGTGTCCCTCCCGCACCGCTGCCGTGCGCGCCGGAGACGGTTCCCCTGGCGATCCTGTGTGAGGCTGTGACCGCACTAGAAGTGCCGGGCCGGCCGTAGCCGGATATTTTCACACCAATTTCGGAACTTGCTTCTCTTATTTCCTCCCAACTCGACTACTCCTCCAACCACTTCACGGCGTGCAGTGAGGCGCGGTGATCCAGATAGGGTCCCCCTCCGCATGTCGCCGTCCCATGACAATGCATGAACGGCACGAGAGGAATCTTCGTCTGGTTCCTCCAATATGTCATTGTTCACTCATGTGGTCCACTCGTCAAATAATCCTGTCGCCCCGATAATTCGGGGTGGTGGCGGGATTTTAACTGGGGCCCAGGTGATGCCGTTTGGCTCACCTCTGAGTTGACACCGGCATTTTTGGTTGGTCCCTTTCGTCGTGAACTCAACTGTCTCGCATCCTTTCTCTCGTCCAGATATCGGATGAGGGGGGTGTGTTTTGTTCACGTGTTGTTTCTTCATGTGGCAAAACGGCCGAATGGCCGTTTGGCTCAAGTTTTCAACCCCCCGTCAGTTTAACTCTGGCACCACGTGCGGACGCCATACAACGGCAGCCGCCCACATCATCGGGAAAAGGTCTCGGTGCTGGGGGCAGCTGGTTGTGGGAGGTATCCGGTGGTGCGGCAGGGTTTGCTGGGCTTGGTTGAGTACTTATACTTCTTCAACTTGATTCCCAACTTCCCCAAACTTCTCTTTGCCAACCGTCACATCCTCAACCCGGTCATCATCCACAGCTTCACCCGAGTTGTGTATCCGGGTGCTTTGGGTACATTGTGATCTTCTTTGTGCTCATTTGCTTCCCTGGGCTACTTCGTGTTCGCCCAAAACCGCAAGTTCTATGGCGAGTCTGGGGGCAAACAGAGGAAAAGCAACCTGACGTGGGTTGCTTACTTGGGTGCTCTCATTTCCGGTGTTTGAAGTATTGTCAAACAGAATGCCGAGGCAATGCTGGCAAACCCATTGCTGACCAGCCAAACGGATCTTTTGCTACACTCAAACACGGGGAATTGGAGGGTAAGGGACCATCCCATGGCCATGCGGAGAACCCTTCGACCCGAGCCAGGAGCAGAAGTTGAAGCTGGTCGCCAGCCTCGCAGAGGATGCGGAGGCGCGGAAGCAATTTTGGGGGTCTGTGTGGTTGCTGGGGTCACATTTTCCCAGTGACTCAAAGTGAACAAACAATAAAATAATATATTTTCCCAGTGACTGTGTGGTTGTGTTGTTCTTCCAACAGCTGAAAGCTTTGGGGTCTCAGCCCAGATAGGCTCCGGGGTGGTCCGGGATGCCCTGAGGTAAGGTTCCACCAGGGTTCCACCAGGGTTCCACGAGGGTTCCACGAGGTTCTGGGAAGACTGCGGGGTGGTGCGAGCACTAAAAAGATATGGTTTTTGGGATGGTTGTAGAGTGACAACAGGAGGAAAACACATGTTGATGGAAGTGCTTGTATTTTGGATGTATTTTGGCACAATGTGTTGGGTCGCTGAAAGAATTGAGTAACAAGGCAGCGCTGACTGCAACGAGTGATCTACCAGCTACACTCTGAGGATGGCATGGTTGGAGCGTCGCATAGGACGCAGTTGGCACTCACGCACGATGCAGCTCTTTCGCTCATGACAGTGGAGCAACATGTGCTCTGTAAATGGATGTGGCTCAAACAAATCAGAGGTAGGGGGCCGCAGGTTCTAGTCTAGTTGTTCATTTGCCAGGATTTCATTTCGCCTTCCCCTATTTTTGAGCCACGCCCAAATTTGAGTCCTCTCAGACATGAACCGTTCCCCCGACATGTGCGGACGAGCTTTTGCAGCAGCTCTTCACGGGATTTTGTTCGAGAGCGGAGATGGGCACTTGGGCACAGGTCTGCTTCAATTTGCTGAAATGAATATGTTGATTTGGCTGTGGGTCAAAAATAGGTACCCCAAATGGAACCCTAGTAAGTGGAAACATGGACCAAAACCTGCAGTCCCCTGGTGGGTTAATTTTGACCCATACCCATTTTTGCCCCCTGGAATCTATCACTGGGGCTGAAGCAAATAGCAAGTGGAAGTCTACAAGAGGCCTTTGCTTGGTAGTGAACATGCGTTTTGAATGATGTACTGAATTGGGGCAAGTGAGGCCAAGAATGGTGGGCCTCTGGAGTGCAATAGAGGATGCCAGCGCTTGCAAGACGATCTGTTGACGCAAAGCCTTGTCTCTCGCTTGTTTGCGCGGGAAGGGGGGGGGGATGCAGGGAGTTGCTTGCGTCATGGATGCTAAGATGCTTCAAAGTCAGAGCTCTTGGCCAGTTGGATGCTGTGTTCACTGCCATTTTGCTCCTGAGGGGTTGAGCACAAACGTTGCAGTGGGTGATGTTTGACAGAAGCATGCCTACTGCGTTTGTGAACTTGTGAATACGAGTGACGCATTCATCTCAGGCATGCCTTACGCTCTATCAATGCCACTCCGTGCGCTGCGTTGTGGGATGCACCTCGTCTTGAGCCCATGAGTTGCGAAACATCCATCCGCGTTCTTGGGAAGCAATAACTGATTTGCGCTGATCTGGGTTCCTCGTTTCTGTACCTGTTACCCTTCCAGTCAAAAGTTGGACTTCTGGTTAGGGTCACAGACCACGGCCGATTCAGAGGTCCTTTTTCGTTTGCTGCGTGTGTGGATTTCCAGCCCAGAGCTCGACCAGGGGCCAGAGCTTTGGAGGATGCGTTTGGAGGGGTGAGGGTCTAAGCACCGGTTGAGGAGATACTGACAGTCCTTTTTTGTCAAAAGCGCATCCTCAAGCCAGTTGGTTCCTCCAGTTGGTTTGCTTGGAAAAGTAGTTCGTCCCCGAGTTGGCTGGCTTGCAGATGAACAGTGCTTGGTTCTGGCAGAGGGCCCCCCAAAAAAAAATCAAAACAATCCAAGCCCCACGTTTCAGCCTCGGCAGGTCCCCTTAAAGGGCCGCGCGCCGGGCGGGGTGCGACGTCGAAGGTCGAAGTCCAGCCAGGCGCTGACCGGTGAGGTCGCGGCGGAGGCCAAAATTCTGGTGGCTGGCGTGGGGGAGGCAGGGGGCATGAGTCACAATCAAACCCCGGGGATTGATGAAGGTTAGTAAGGGACGATCCCAACCAATAGCTGCGGATATCCGCCTTCTCAATTTCTGAGGCATGGTTTTGGGTGAACCATGTTTGTACCGGGTTTTGATCATGACCCACATGGGGCCTGAGAAGCTCCGGAATTGCAATTGCAGGAAAAGGAGGGGGGGAGGGGAAGAAATGGAAGAGCATAAACCTGGAATCAAGTTTTTGTTTCATTATTGTTTTTCTGAAGGACCCCGCAGAAAATGGTGGGCTTGAAGGGGCTAAACCGACCCACAATTGCTGGAACATTGGGTGGGTTTGAGGGGAATAATCCTGGAATCATGTCTCTCGAAGAACCCGACAATTGCTGAGAATAAATAGGGTTGGAAATCAAGGAACCTGACTTCAATGTCACTCCACTCCCCTGAAGGACCGCACATGTGCGGGAACATTTATGGGTTTTGAAGGGAATTCCCTTGGAGGTGACAAACTATAGGGATGAGTCAGTAACAGAAAAGTGTGTGTTTTCCCCACGACCATGCCCGTACCTCCAGTGGAGCCGAGGAGCCTTCCCCCTGTCATGATCTTATTGGTAGGGAAGCTCCCATGTCTTCCCAACATAATACCCCTGTGGGTGTAGTTCAACATGTCATTTTGAACCAATCCATTTTGAATCAACCCATGCTGAACAAATCTATGTTTGACTGGATTTCAAATCCATTTTGAAGCAATCCATTTTGCACTTTGGGGTTTCTCTATATGCGAGTCGTGTTTTCCCACCTCGCGCCTGGAGGCGGGCTTTTTTTCGGCGGGCGCTGCAGGCGTCAGCGGCTGAGACCACGCTGCTGGTGCTCGACCCTGCGCTGGGCTGCTGCAGAACCTGGCGGGACTTCGTGCGGCTGCCGCTTCGACTTCGATCAGTGGAAACCGCGGGTGGCTGGATGAAGCCTCGATGTTGCCCAGTGGATTCCGCCTTCTTCTTTTTTGTTCAAGGGTTCCGATCCCTGTAAACTCAACCAAGAAAAAAAAGGCCCTTTTTTTCCCCATAGCCACTGGGCATCTGAGAAGCCAGCTTTCACAAACCTTGCTCCCTTAAGTTCCCGATTTTTTTTCGGTTTAGTCACACAAATATCGGATGTTTTCTATGACCAGTCCACTCAGCAAGAGATGAATCCATTGGCTTGTTCTGTAGGTCTCAGGGTGCTTGATGTGTTGTTTGGGTGGTTTTCTCAAGCACCTTTTCAAAAAGCCCAAATTTGAACTGAGCTTCCTGTTGCGAAGGTGTTTCTTTTTCATTTGAACCATTGCCTATAGGTGTGTCTCTGTGTGTTTCTTCTCTTTTTGTTTTACGGGCACCCTTTTTTGGGGTGGAAACCCAAAGGAGCCCACGGGAAATCCCGGCAAACGTTTCCCCACGGCTGGTTTTGGGTCCGAGGTCCTGGCAGCTCCAAGACAGGGCCATCCGAGCTCAAGGCGGGCTGGGGGGGTGCCTTCAGGTTCAGCGGAGGGAATGAACTCGGGAATGAAGCCCCGAATTCGGATGGGATGCCCGAAGAATTACAGGAAACTTGGATGGTTGGCGGGGCATTCCAGAACTCTCATTCCCTGAGCACCAGCAAGTTGTGCTGTTGTTTTTTCTTCCTCGCCATGTTCGCTGCGAGTGTTTCCCTGTTACAGGGTGAGCTCCCAAGGACATGTCGGCTTCCGAGCCAGCAGTCCATGGCGTCAGACATGTTGAAAGGGAAACCACTGGACCTCGGACTCAAGAAAGTCATTTTCTATCGCACCTGGAGAATATTTGAGGGTGGCCTGGACGATCCACTGGGTGGCCGGCTTGCGTTGTTCCGAGTTATTCCTGCTTGGTGCGGTCGGGTTAAAGGGGACATGCAAGGAAGCCTCATCCTGCTTAAGGGTGGAACATGGCAGTTGTGTGGCGTATGCCGATTATGCGCATGTTGAAGGGGCGGTTCTTGTTCTGTAAATGGTGCAAAGCTTGGCTGGGATGTATGCTGACCCCTGAAAACCCTTCAGTTGGGGCATTTGGGGGGGAAGTTCTATTGTCCAACCCCAAGAGCTTTGCACAAGGCGCGGGTTGTCAGCAGGACGCGCATTGCTCGCCTCGAGGTGTAAGCCGACGGAGGCTTCAGGTACTGAATGCGACTGATGGACAGTTCGGGCAGCTTGGGCCCAGACAGGCCTGAGGCCCGACGCAGTAGGATTCCGACCAGCTGCGCCTTTTTTAGAAGCAGGCCTTGCGAAAGGCCCTATTTGGAGGAACCAAAGGGGGCAAAGGGGGAGGGGTCTTTGGGGAGGGCGGGGAGGGATCTCGAGCGCCAGGCTTTGAAGAGCTGCTTCAAATTGCGCGGGCCTTGAAGGGACGCATTCCGCTTCAGGGGTGGGTTCTTGATATTCCTGACGGACCAACAGGGCATTGGACAGGGCTCCTTAAAAGATACATGTTGCAACCATTTGAAACATGGCTTTTTCCACCAAAATAAAGGGACACCACCATTTACAAGGCAATGTTCAGGTGTATAATGTCAGGATCCCTGCTGGACCAGACTCTTACCTATTATATAGTTTGGCAGGGGGCAAAGCTGAGAATCCAGGCAATTGCTGTTCTGTTTCAAAGCCGTTTCGAATTTGGGATCACATGGCCGTGGGGGCTTCATACTGAGAAACAGTGACAGGGGGTGCGGAAGTGTTGCCCCAAGCTGATAGTAGAGACCGACAGCGCTACGAAGACAAAGTTCATGCAGCACGTGGCCTAGTTTCAAGGTGCTCTTCCTGTCTCCGATCTTACTTTATGTTGCAAGGTGTCGACTAAACACGAAACCGAACTCGCTTCAGAAACTGAAGCTCGCAAAACAAAAAACAACTTTGGTGCACCCAACCCTTGCGAGAAGGGGGGTGTACGCGTCAGCCCTTGCACCCATCTTCTTGCGACCACAAGTTGCAGCTCCCACTCCCAGGCACTCCACTCCACTCCTCCCTGCCCAGCCGGGTGACTCGACTCCGGGCCTTTGGGGCGCCGTTTCTCTCGAGGTCCTCTTCCACCCGGAGGCCGTGCACAGCGCCTACTGCGACGGCCCGGAGGACCAATAGCAAGCGATCCACAAAAGCCGTCGAAACCGACAAATCCGAAGCTCACCAACCAACCCCCGGACAAGGGGCCAACTTCAGCCCTCATGAATGTTGTATACCTAGGGCTTCAAGAACCTGTAAAAATGTCGTACCCTGACTAAAACATCGTGTTTTTTCTCGATTTTCTGAAAACATCGTGTTTTCAGGAAAAACATCGTGTTTTTGATAAAACCACTTAAAAATGGGCTTCTGAGGCCAAACACTCATTTGGAGCAAAGGGTCAAAGGCAAGGGTCGGGAGTGGATTCACACAGACATCACCCATTAAGATTTCAACTGAGGGCAACGCTCTATACTGAGTATGCTTCAAATTCTAAGGACCACATTGATGAGCCTGACAGCCAGGGTGTGCAGCTGACTTCAGTCTTGAAGTACCTTTCACAGCAACAGGCACCTGAAGACTGGCGCCAGGTCATACCGAACCAGTTTGAAGGGGGTGCTGGAATCCGAAAGCTCCTTTTGGTGCAAAACAAGACCAGGTGACACTTTTGAGATTGTTTTTATCAATTTTGAGTTTTTTTTAGCAAATGGGGCGGGATCCTGGCGGCTAACCGCAGAAAACCCGCAGAAAACCCGTAGAAACCCATAGAAAACCCGTAGAAACCCGTAGAAAGCCCGCAGCCCCAACCGAAAACATCGTGTTTTTGGAAAACATCGTGTTTTCTAACCCGTAGCTAAACCGTGGAGAACCCGTAGTAAAGCGTGGCAAAGCGTGGAAATTCTATGGGTTTTTCGGGTTCAACCACGAATGCGCTAATTCGAGAATGTTGCTGGAAAACAACGAAGTCGTGAGCAAAAGCACGGTCTTTGCTTGAGCTTGCGCGCTGTTCGAAGCCAGCACGCCCTCATCATGGCACTGCTGCTTGACAAGTGTCATAAAACCGTGGTACTTTTGACTATTTGGGTCCCCGGCCTCCTTCTTTCAGGTTGGAGTTGCGAAAGACGAGTGGCGAATGCGAAGCTGATTTCGTTGCGAGTGCAAAAGGGGAGGGCGATGGGAGATTCTGAGGTTGAGATGATGCTTTTGAGATCTTTTGAGAACGGATGACGAGTTGAAGGAATGTATGGGAAACTGCTTGAAATCGAAAATGCGGTGTTTCCCGAAAACATCGTGTTTTCCCAAAAAACATCGTGTTTTTTGTAGGTATGACATTTTCATCGGTTTTTGAGGCTCCTGGTAGTTGGTGGGTTGGCTTTTATGTTGTAAAATAGTTCTTCAGAGAGAGTTTTTTTGGCCACTTTCGCTGCTCATCATGTTTGGTGGGGCTTCGGGAGCCAAGAGAAATGGGAATGCATTGGGATCCGATGTGTTTTTCCTATCACTGGGCAACGAACCCAGCAAAACAAATCCATGCCAGATGTCCAGCATGCATCCCACTTGCTCAGGGAATCCAGTCGTTTTGTTTTGTTCTTCTTCCGTGGTGGAGCAATAGGGTTGGAGAAACCCGTCGGGATGCGTCACTTACAGAGGGGAACTGCCTCCGTGAGCCTAGGTTTGTTCATTTCCAGAAGCTGGCCATGGCCCGCCCTTGGAAACCGAATTTCCAAGTCGGCTTTGGTCCCGCAGCCAGTTAGCTGCCCTTGCTGCCACTGACCGGAGGTGTTATTGTTTTGGGAAGCCGTGTTTATTGTGAGCCCCGTGTGGGGACGGGATGATGCTTGACATCTTATCCAGGAAGATAGGACCTCCGCATGCCCGCGGCTCCGAGTTAAGTTCCCGCGACACATTGATATTTCTGGTCCTTGCCCGGCTGGTGGAAAATCCTTCCGATGTGCGAAACAGGGGTACCTCAGTATAACCCCCTTTCTGCATGGTTATATGACATTGTTGCGAAGTACAGCAAAGGCCCGTGTAGCGTTTGTGGGTGGTTTCCTTTGTGCTTCCCCTTAGAACCACCAAAACAGGGGCCAACCCAAAAAGACACGCAAGGACGCGGCGGATTTCTCCATCCGCGCGCCCTTCCCTGTGGTGCACTTGCTGCGACCCTTGGATTTGAAGAAAGAAACCCTCCCCGAAGCCAGGGATGGGCTCGGGTTTCCTATTCCGAGACCCTGACAAGCAATGTTTTTGGATGTGTCCCAAGCCAGGTCAAAATTAACATGTATTTATTTATTTTGAGTCTTGAGGGTACCCTTATTCTTGGTCTTTGACAGGGGACCAAAAAAACATCATTCCTTTGTTGTGTCCATTGGCTCAAAAACTTGTGCCCAACATGCGACCTGGGTATATTGTTTCGAAGACTAAAACCTGCGTAACCATATAGCTCTTTATTCTTGAGCCACGCCCATTTCGCTGTTTCAACACAAGCCCAGGTTCGATTTTTCCGGGTTGACTCTCCAAAGTGATGTGTGAAGGCCCATGGGTTGGGGCCCGGACCTCCAACCCAAATCCTCTCTCCGCTTCAGACCGGGGGTTATGGGTCCCTTTGAAGCCAACCACAGAAGTGTGTCTTGTTCCATGGCTGGGGCGCGGCCAAATTGGAGTTATCCTTGTGTCCTTTTATATAGTATACATATGTTTTTTTTTTTTTTTTTTTTTATGTATGTATATATATATATATATATATTGTTTTTAATTTGTTTGGGCCTTGGTGGTTTGTGGTTGTAGCTGTTGTGTTTGGGGGTTCAGTTTTTGTAGTTGGGGAGAGCAACAAACAGGAATGTTGCTAAAACTGGAGATTGGAATCTAAAGGGACACAGGAAAGAAGCCAATCTTGACAGCCTCCATCCTCAAACATGCGTCTCTTTGAAACTGGACGCGCATTTATGACTACTGGCCTGAGCTTACACAATGAGGCTAAAATGCTTGTTTCTTACACAGGAGACCCACAATACTGGCTGGTTTCGGACTGCCCGCACTAAGTGGACGAGGGAAGTAAACATCTAGCCGCTAGGAATTTGGGGGTTGGACACAGACGTAGTCTGGAATGTGTCGGAAGGGCCGTGCCCAGCGCACTCATTTCCACACTGCCACGGTGGGTCCTTATCTTGGGGGACAAGAAGGGTCAAGAACAAAGGTGTGAATGATTGCAGCTTGTGTCAACTTGGGATGAAGACGAACGGCTGATCTGCTTTGCAGATCGACTTCCTTGAAACTCTTATAAGTGAAGTTGGGCTCGACTTCCGGATGATATGTTACACCATGGCAATGGGGTTTTCATTGAAGTGTGGTACGGGAGTTAAGTAGAGGACAGCTGTTTTTGCAGTTTTCTCACAACTTAAAGCAAATTCATTGGAAGCGTTACGGGGGCCACGTCAGCAGCTGGCAGAAGTTTGCCTTGTGCCTCAGAAGATTTCTACTTGAAACATCAGTTCATGGGCCGAGATTGGAGTTTTTGTTGGGGGTGATGCTTGCAAAGGACACGTCTTGGGCGGGCCGGAAGGCCTTCCGAAAGGACCGCGCCAGGCAGGTCCCACTGCCTGGCTTACAGACATGGAACCCAGGTGTCACATGGGCTCCCGCCGACAACACTCCCAACTGGGGTACCTAGGAGAGACGTTCGGCCCAAGTGGCTCGCTGGCTCACTGGGCGGTGAATTGTTCAGGAGAGATGGACGTCATGAAGGCGGCTGCAAGCTCAGTGCGCCCGCGCTGGACTTCAGTTGGGCAAATGAGTCTTCGAGCTCAGCGGTGACCTCATGAAAAAGGTCCCTTATGTGAGGTGTCCTTATTGTGCGAGTGTTTTTTGAGGGAACCTTGTTTGGGGTAGAATGAAAAATAATCCAAAGGGGAACATGTTTGGGGGGGTCGTCGTATGTTGACACGCTCATCTCTGGTTTGAGAGTTACGGCAATTTGCCGAGATGAGGTTGTTAGGTCGCGCCTGTTTGACCTCATCGCAGGACTGGCAGGATGTGTGTATGCGTGTGTTTTGTTCTTGAGTTGCTTCAAACGTGTCCGCGAACTGCTTCCCCTTTTTGCTGGGGTGGTGCTTGATTAAAGCCCAAAGGGAGAAGCCGTTTTTTGGGCTCCTACTTTAGGGCCTACCCATTGAATGTGTTGAGGTCTGAGGCATCTCGGTGCTTAACGCCATGTGTCGGGTAAGAGCCAGGCTTGACCAAAACCCTTATTGCAGTAGCTGAGGACTTCACGTTCCAGACTTGCGGGCTCATGGGAGTTGCAGTGAGTTGCGGTCTGACTTGTGGCGAAGATGGGGAGCCCTCCAAGTGGGTATTTTGATGAATTGTGTAAGTTGTGCGCGCACCACCATCATCTTTGCAGATTGAAGGGTATTGGTTTTGGATAGCCCCTGGCGGTTTCTGGGGGTCATATTGTCGATCATTCATATGCTGTTTCCTTTCAAACCTGGTCTGGCCCTTTGCCCAAGACACATACCCAGGTCGCCTCCTACCCAGCGGCAGAAGAAATCCCGGCGCGGAACAAGGCCAAGCTGCGGAAACAGGGCCTGAGCCTCTGCCAAGCACGCCTGGACGCTTGCATTGAGTGAGGAAAGCGTCATGATGCCTCCGCTGCATCGAGGTTCTGTTTGTTTGGGCTGTCATCCCGCGCCAGGGTAGTAGGTTGTAGTCATGGTTCGACCTGAGACCACAGAGCATGGTGGACATGGAATGATGGTTACAACCTACACGGATTGAACCTTGGGGACCCCTTCGATTCAAAGTGGTCGGTACATCGCAGGTTCCCTTGCAGAATTCCTATGTTGACACCTTCCCAGCCTTTCGAGTACGGACGACTTGGGTATGGCTTAAAAAGACCTTCTGGTAGAGTCGACCTGCAGCTTGCATTGCTCGCCGGGAGTCCTGTTTTGGGGCTTCGAGGTGCGTGTGCTGTAAGCCACCTGCTGGCCATGTCAAGGCCCCCTTACCATTTCAGGATGGGGCATTCGGTACCAAGGGACCCTGCCGTGTTTTTCCCTCCAAAGTTGTTGGACGTGACTGTCCACAAAGACGATGTCGAACTCAATGACATTTCGCAGCCACCCACTGCTCACAAAAACCAACTAACCACTAGCCACTTGCGAACCTAATCACGTAGCATTTGCCATAATGCCATGCAGAGTCCCCAATGAAAATTCATGGCAAGTCATGACGGGTATCGTTTGCTCTCTTCCCTTCGGCGAGCGCGAGCAGCTAGCGATGGCGGCTGCTTTGCGGGACACCTGGAGCAAGCGGGCGGCCACCTGCTGCTGGTTCCATTGCGCCGCGATTTGATTTGGTAGGATTTGAGTTTTATGTTCTCACCTGGGTGTGTATTTTTTACGGGACAAACGTCGCACGTTGCCTCACTGCAAAATGGAGACGTAAGACATGAAGCGGAACATAGCGGAACACCAGAAACGCTGACAGCCTGCTAAAATCGATTTCCGTGAAACTTCCTAAAAAGTGTTCGTACACGTTCGTTTGGGACATGTTCGGGAAATGTCGGTACTTTCGGAGTGTCCAGGTACATCTAGGACTTTAACATACAAAACATTGAAGATATCGACTGAAACCCACTCCCTGAGCTTATGGACCTTAGTCACTTTTTGGGTCCTTGACTCTTTCTAACCAAGCAAATCATGATCGGGAAGTGAGGAGACATTCTATCATCTCGCTTTGTTTGTTCCCCTCCCCCCTTTTTTTGTGTTGGTCTTCGTTTCGTTTTACCAGGGCAACTAAAACCTTTTGGGATTGTTGACCAGCACCAGCCACCTCGCCGTGTGTTCTTTTTCGGTTTTGATCCGAGAACAGGGGGACCTTAAAGCCTTCTAAAGCCTAGGCGCGGATGAGTTGACCATGGAGGTCTTGGCGCACTTGGACTTTGATGCCTTCTGCGCCCCGGGGAGAGACGTGGGGGCCGTGGGATCCGTATTGTTGGCTGGTTTTTTGTAGGTAACCAAGGGCTTGCCAGGGTGGCAACCAAAATCAAACATCCTTTAAACACCAAAAGCAAAAAACAACCTGGCTGCCTGGTAAAGATAGTTAAAAGAAGAACTTGCCACCCGATATACAAGACCAAACTGAACATAGCTGGTTACCTACAGGTGTGACTGGGATCCAATGGGCAAGGCTTCTTTTGGAGAAACACGTTGGCCCTATGTTTGTTGTCGTTGTTGTTGTTTTTTTGTTTGTGTGTGTATGCGTGCCGAGTGAGTACTTCAAGCAAGGTGAGCTCAAAAGTGCAGGACTTCCTGGACTGTCGCTTTTTGGGCTTCCATTTGTGTGGCAAACAAGTGGTTTGGACTTGTGTTGGTGAATCTACGGAAGTGACCACAGAACGAAGCGAGTTCTCATGGTCTACTCACAATGATTCAAGGTGGTTTAACAACAATATGTTCCATTTGCTCAAGAATCATAATATTATTGTTTTTGGTTATTTTCCCTTGTTGGTTTTAAGCTATTTTTTTTTCACTACTGGACATATTTTCCTTATTTTTTCCAGGGGTCTTCACCAAATGGAAGAATACGGTGGTGCCGCCCAAGCCGCGGTTTTGCCGCGCTTTGCCGCGACTCAACACGTTTTTTGAAGGATTGTGCTTTGGCCCGCAAGACGAAAATAGAACCCCGAAACGTGTTGTTCCCCGCGAAAACCACCGATTTTGGGAAATTTTGGGGGCTGAAGATCTTGGCAGCTAACCTGAAGAAAGACCAACATAGACCAGCAACAACATACCTCTCCCCCCAACGCCCTCCCCCCCCCCCCAAAAAAAAAAAAAAAACTCCAAAAAAGCCAAGCAAACAAAGAAGCAAACCAGACACACCTTCAGCAAAACCAAAGGATGCCAAAAGCCGGAGAAAGTCGACCGAGGCGTGGACTGTCAGCACGGGATGGCGGAGTACACCGAGGCGGTGCGTCAGCTCAGGGCGCTGCAGTCGATGAAGCCCCAGGCGGGGTCGAATCGAAGGGTCGCGTAGCATGGCCCATTTTTGGGGGAGTGGGTATACTTCTCTAGGGGTTGATTCCTTGTCCATTCTTTTCAACCATCGCTCTTTTCTCAAAAAACCAGCTGTTTTTTTTTTACATTTGTTTCTTGGTTTTTGATGGTTTCCTGAAAGAAGGATCCCTGGAAAGGATGGAATTGGAAGGTACCCCTAGCACTTCCATTGGCTGAAAAGATGAGGTGTTCGGTTCGGTTCCCGGTTCGGTTCCCCGGGTCGCCTCCCCGGTCTTCGAAGATGTTTGTTGTGCCCCCTTTGGTTTTTAAGTCGGAATCCCTCCCTGGAAAAGCGTACGTTTTCCGGGGGGGTGAACAAGCAAATGGGCAAATGGAAGCTTGGGGAAGCTGAAGGGCAGACGGAATATCCCGATTTTGACACCCAAAACCCAAATAATATCCTCAGCACGAGCGCGGCATGCGTATATGGGGCAGACCGTTGCAGTGATACCTGTTTCTTGGATTCCCTTTAAAATCTACCAACCAAGGACTTCGATTGGCTCAAGATGTCAAGACATATTTTTTTCCCCTGGTTTTAAAGGGAATATATCACCACTGGACATGCTTTAAACGTTTTGTATTTTTTCCAGGGACCTTTTCGCACATGTAAAGGGGAGTGCCATTTCTGGGCCGACCCGGAAAAAATCCCCCCTGGGCAAACCAGTCCATGGCCATGGACGGGGTCTGGAAGGACTAGGCAGACGTCCAGAACTTGGCCCAAAACGCCAAGTGGCAAGTTTTGAGGATGCTTTTAGCATAGTTTACATTGTTTACATTTTACATTTTTGGGAAACATTGTTGTGAAACATTGTGGGACGCATTGTTGGGAAACCTTGTTTACATTTTTGCTTATTGTGGCTTAGTGGTTGAAATCCAAGCACTTACCTGCTATTTTTATTTTTTTTTTGCTCCCCTTCCAGCGTCAATTTAGGGAGTGGGGCCCGGGTTTAAAGGGAGACCGGGAAACATGATAAGGGGAACCGGAGGTGTTTTTTTGGGCCCGCTTGGCCGTCAGGGTCATGGGCCATCACGACCAGTTCAGCCGACCCCAGTTCAGTGGATTCCACCCGAGTCTGTCCGTGGGATACGATTCCTACGAATCAACCAGAGGTTTGTCAACCCTGTTTGACCCGCCACTCACACCCCTGAAGGGAAAACCACCCTTGAACAGTCAACTTTTCAGGGCGACGCACCCATGAAGGCCCCAGAAGGAGCAGTGTTCATTTCTGGTTCAACGAGTTTCTGCTTGAATGCCTGTCTTTCAACCCGGCTTTTCAGCAAGGAGGGCTCAATGAGCTGTTCTCTCCATATTGGTCCCTGGTGTTTTGGTTTGAGCCACCAGGCCAAATGATATGTTTGGACAATATTAACCATATCCACCATATCCACCCCCCCAAAAAAAAAAAATCAAAAAAAAAACAGAGAAGAAAACAACCACTTACACTTTGCTGGGTGTGTTTCAAAATGGAAGTCAGTCCCCTAAAATGGAGTTTGGGTTTCCTGTTGCTTTCCCTTCAACTACCCAACAACAGGTTGAACATCCATTTAGTTTCCGTTCGGCTTCCCTTTTTGAGCGTTATCTACATGTTGGCTCTCTCAGGGAATGAGTTGGAATGCACCGAATTCGGGGATTCCCGAAAAAAGGACACCGCCAGTCGGGCCTTCTTGCTGGTGCGATAGGGAGCGTGGTTGAATGACCCCAGAGACGAACCCAGGTTGATTCCCTTCAAGGAAACCGTGAGTTGGATGGTTCGGCTGGGGGTCCTTCCATCCGCAGGCCTCCGCCCTGGTCCGCGTGGCCGAGCTCTGCGCGAAGGAGACGTGTCATGAAGCGTTGCGGGGTTGAGGCGAGGCACGTTTTGTGGGGGGGGGGGTTGGACGGTGGGAAAAAGGGGCGAAAGTGGTAAGAAGAGGTTCTGGTGGTGAATGATAAGCAAAAGTGGGAAATTAAGTAAGAAGAAGTTCTAGTGGTCAAAAACAAAGTGGGACTTGATACTCGCTGCCAGGACATTTGTTTGCTAAATGCAATCAGGTCCTGAGCTTCTTTTTTGCATGGCCAATCCAATCGATCAGAAGTGAGGAATAGGGAACCAGCCTTCCCAGCAAGTCATGGACTTTCAGCTTCCTAAGACCCCTTTTGTGGCAGCCACTTCTTAGGACCATGTTGTTGCAAAGAAGCCATGTTTCAGATTTCTTGGCCAGTGAACTCAAAACCAATCGGAGGTAACCAAGAGAACCCGTAAATCCCAGTCGCATACAAGCAAGCGAACCACTCTTGGGGAACATGTTTGGTTGCCGACTGCCACCAATTGTTCAGAAATACTCTTCCCGGTTTGGGGGTTCTGTATGGTCAATCTGCTTCGAATTCCAAGTTGAAATCAAGCCGGTGGCTCCTCCATCTTTGGGCTGAATGCTCCCAGACATACGTTCCTGCCGAGCATAAGAGGATAAAGGCTTGGGAGATTGTTTTTTGGCGTGCCCGACCCATACAGACTCACACAGGTTTGTGTTCTCCAGTCACCAGGACATCGGGAAGCTCCTGGATGCCGGGTTTCACGGGATCATTTGTCCCATGGTGAGCCTTGGACTTGGGGGAACCGATGTCAGGCCCGGAATGGTCCGTAGGCGGATTGGCGGAACCATCAATCTTGCATCTTTTTGCGTGAGTTGCATGTGTTTCTTGTGCTACACAATTCAAACTACCTTGTAACCTAATGGGTAAGGCGTCATTGTTTCAGCCGACGGCTTGAACACATGTCATTGGTGGTTCGAGTCCACCCTGGTCCGTTCTTCCTTTAAATCTTATAATACCAAAACAAAATCATTTTTATTCTTTGGTGAACTCATGCAGCAGTCTCGATTTTTTTAATCAGCCGCTCACAGACCAACTCAACCCTCTCCGAGGAACACCAAAGCGCAGGCCGAGGATCTGGTGGCAGCCTGTTGCTGGGCTTCGAGGGTTCTTGCCCTTAACAGCGGCGTGGTCCTGTTTTCCCCTTTTGCGTCACGGTCCCTCTAGCATCTGAACATGAGTTTCCTTTTGGGTGGGAAACAGAGAGAGAGGGAGAGAGGGAGAGAGAGAGAGAGAGAGAGAGAGAGAGAGAGACTAGAGAGAGACTAGAGAGAGACTAGAGAGAGACTAGAGAGAGACTAGAGAGAGACTAGAGAGAGAGAGACCCAAAGCGGGAGTCCTGATCAGAAAGCTTTGCTTAAATCGGGTAGCCCTTGGTGGTTTGGAGGGATTGAAGCCCTGGTTCTTGTATAGGACCCCTACCCACTTGAAACCGGGCTCCAAACCACCCCGAAGCTCGAGACCGCTGGCGTTGGGCCGAAGAACGCCCCGGCGCTGAAGGCCACTACAGCCCCAAGGGCGTGCGCTCCGCCGGGCCCACGCGGGCGCTGCTGAAGATGGGCTCCGGCCTCCAGGTGCGGCTGCTTTGGGGCTCTTCGGGGCGGGGCTTTCGTCTTTGGGGCTTTGGGGGGGGGAGGGTTTGGGGCTTTGGCGGGGGATCATGGACCTCAGGGGTGGAAGTGGAGAAGATCCCAAATCCTGGGATGGATCAGCCCTGAAGCTGAAACGAATCACCTGCAGGAGTTTGTCCATCCACGGTATGCCACGTCCCTAGGTGTCGGACAGGCCAAGGCCTCGGGTGAATTGACAGGCGCTTCAGGCCTCAACAGGTTCTATATGGAGCCTCAATAAAAAGAGAGACACGAAAAAGAAGGTCAAGCAAGCTTCAGGTCACCTGGGGCAAATGAGGGCCGTCCTAAAACCCCAGTCTTCGGTTTTAATTATCGCCGAACGGGGAGAAGTAAAAGTTGTCAAAAGCTGTGCGCGCGCAAGGAGCGCGCAAGTGCGGCCCAAGGGACGCGCAAGGTTACAGTTTTGAAGGGTTTCATGTACTGATGTTGCCTAGCTGCATGAAAGGAGGTGATATTTTCTTGCTGTACTTGTGGTTTCCGAATCAGTCAGACGCCAAACGAAGCCAAAGCTTCTGCGGTCATGACTTCAACAATCAGCAATTGACACGACAAAATCCGCGCAAGCCGCGCGCAAGCCGCGCGCAAGCCGCGCGCAAGTTGCGCGCAAGCACGAGAAGCCCCAGCAAGACATCTAGCCATGCTGTCTCGGATGTCCTTAGCGGCGCGGTTGAAGCAATGGATAGGCACCCGCAACATGCACTTTCCTTCTTTCAGGCTGTGTCCAAGCTGTGTGGCAGAGCCTGCTGTTCTTTCTGTTGGGTCAAGGGTATGTTGCTGGCATTGAATTGCCGGGAGCGACCTCAGCGGGAAACGTCTTTGTGGGTTGCTGTGTGAACGACAAACACACTGCTTAGAAAAGCTTGCGCGCAATCCACACGAAAACTTCGCAAACCGAGGTCAACGAAAACGAGTTTCTGCGCCACTGTGCGCGCGCAAGTACGCGCAAGTGCCGCGCAAGTGCGGCCCAAGGGCCCAATCGCGGGCAAAGGAATATAGGACAACCCCCAAATAAGAATGGCTACCCGAGCAAATCGAAGGTGGATTTCCTTACGTCATGATTTGCCTCTGGATTTTCGTGGAAGGAGCAACGCAGTTGCCCTTGAAAGGGTCTAATCTTACACGGCCCAACTCCTAGGCCCCTTCCCGCTTGAAGGGGGGGCGTGACTCCTAATGGGAATGCAGGACTAAGAGACTGGTTGACTAACAGGAGGTTGTCCAAATAGGAGCTCTGCAGACTCCTTTGCTTGAGGAAATACGCCATGTTAACACAAGGAAGGGGCAAACTAGTTGCTAATAGCGTACCCCAAGACTCACGACTACACGCGGCGTTAAAGTGCTCTACTTCCCCGTTCGATCTAAGGGCCCTTTTACTTGCTGGTGCTCAGTAGGGAGCAACTCAGGGTGTTGGGAACGAACCGTTTCGGGATTCTCTTAAAGGAAACAATAGGGGAAGTTTGATTTTTCTTGGTTATTCGAGGGGAATATTGGGAACATTGATCAACCCCATACAGAAGAAGCCATATAGGCACGTGTTTTTTCGAGGTTGTTCCAACTCGTGCCAGCGGAGAACCAGCAAGTAGAGGCCGCCCAACGCGTTGAAACAAAAATTCATCAACCTTCGTTCATGAGGGCTACTACGAAAGCACCCTGAACGCCAGAGCCCGGCCGCGCCTCGGCCTGTCGGAACTACTCTCCGGTTCGGCCGGACCCAGTGGCCCAGCGAACGAGGGTTGGACCCTTTTTGAGCGAAGTGCTATGAAGTGCTGGCAGGGTTGCCAAGCAGCCAGGTGCAGTTCTCAAGGTGTCAAGCTGCTTTTGAAGGGGCCGCCCTTCTCCTTCAAATGGACCAATAAAAGAGGCCAAATGGGTGTTTTCCCCCGGTGGCCGGTCTGCGGGGCTCACACAGGGACGGCTTTGTGAGTGGTTCGACTTCTTGAAGGTTCCTTCCTTGGGGAGCAAATCGTATGCACCAGTGGATCCATGAGTTCTTTCGGTCTGTACCTGGGACACCCAGGGCAATTGTGTTGTATTCAGACTGCGTTGGGGGAAAACTACCATGTTTGCTCGGGGGGCTTGGAATAGCTTGGCCCTTTAGGATGCTTTCGTCGTGTTTGAACCATTTGTGGGTGAGGCCTTCTTTGGTGGATTGCCCCCACTAGCCATTCTTGCGACATTTGCGATATGCCACAATTTTGCACATGAACCAGAATCTCAGAACTCGAGCTTAAAGAGGAGTCTGCTTTTATCTAGGACTGCCTTTGATGCTTTCATATGAGAGCGATGAGTTTCCAAGGGGCCACCAAAGTGGGGGCAGTTTCATGAGTTCCGGTCCGGCACTATGGACCCATAGTGCATGAGGATCATCCTGGGGATGGTTGAGACTGCCGAGGGCGTCAAGAATGTCAAGGACCTGCGTCAAAAGTCACACATGTGGCGGTCCTCGCCGATGGGCAGCTGATATTGACTTACCCCACGTGTCTTGCTGTGTTTCATGCGGTGCTTGGATGTTCAACCCACTTGGAAACAAGGCGTTACTGGCTGAAAAGGTTGCAACCATGATTTATTTAGCCCTGTCTAGTACTTACCTGAACTCTCCACAACAGCCAGGGACAACTCAAATGTCCCAGGTCGTGTTGGGGCAGGGACATTGTCCGTGGGTCATACTGTGGATGGGCAAACTCCAGCTCCAGTTGGGATGGATGAAAGCCCATGACTACTGGAGAAGAGGATCCATCCCAACTGATGCCCGGCGTTTTTGCTGTCCGTCCACAAAACCAGTTATAACATATACTACCAGTGAGCTACAACCCACTTGGCTCACACCCACAACATTTCCTCCCCCCCCCCAAGCCCCAGCTCCACACCCTGCCATTCCCCCAGCCCCAGTCCCAGCCCCACCCACCCACCGCTGCCAGGAGATCCTTGAGGCGGACCTGGACGGAGTGTTTCTTGGGCCTCTGGACCTCAGCGTGTCTTTGGGGGAGCCCTGCAGCGCCACCAAGGGCAAGCCCCTCGGAGCTCGGATGAGTCAATGAGTGGTTCTGGACCGAAGCTTTGGGGAGGTCCCTAGGTTTTTTTTGCCTGGAAAAAAAACACGCCAAAGGGAAGCTTTGGGTTAGGTGGGCTTGTGTTGCTGAGCAGGGTTCAACAATATATATATATATATATATATCTATATATGTATATATATATGTGTAGATAATTATATCTTATCACTTCACCTGTTAGTAGGATTAATTCAACGAGAGGTTCTTGGGGTGTTGTTTTTGTTTCAAATGAATCTAAGGGGAAATAGGGCGCCATGTTGCCGTGGGCCTAAGGAAGACCCGAGAGGCCATCGCCGGCATCGCAGCCCGCGCCCAGCGGAAGCGCAAGATCTGCGGGATCTACGTGCCCGACAGGCGCAGAACAAAACGCAGGAATTATCTCGAAAAATAGAACTGAGCATATCGCCATATATATATATAGATATACATACATACATACATACATACATACATACATACATACATACATACATACATACATACATACATACATACATACATACATACACACACACACATACATACATACATACATACATACATACATACATACATACATACATACATACATACATACATACATACATACATACATACATACATACATACATACATACATACATACATACATACATACATACATACATACATACATAGATACATAGATAGATAGATAGATAGATAGATAGATAGATAGATAGATAGATAGATAGATAGATAGATAGATAGATAGATAGATAGATAGATGCATACATACATACATACATACATACATACATACATACATACATACATACATACATACATACATGCATACACACATAGATAGATATATATAGATAGATAGATAGATAGATAGATAGATAGATAGATAGATAGATAGATAGATAGATAGATAGATAGATAGATAGATGCATACATACATACATACATACATACATACATACATACGTACATACATATGCATATCAACCATATATATATATATACACATATTCATATGCATTGTATATTTTAGTGTTCCCTTTTGCGAGGAACATGGATTTGGAGAACTGCAAGCTTTGGGAACAGGTGTTTCTTTGCCGGCAGGCTCAGCCGCTGGACTCAGCCATTGTCGGGTATGTCATGTTTGAGAGAGGGTTCTTGGTGCTTCCATGTGCTTAAGAATAGTGTTTTCTTTAAAAGCAAATCCCCGGTTGGTTTGAAAGGGAATTCCTGTCAGTGCTGGAAATATATATTTTTTTCTTAGGAGGGCTTGAGCAAATGGAAGGTTGGGGTGGTTGTGCAAAGGGAAACCAAGAGGAAACCCTGCCTAGTTTGGGGTCCCAGTCCAACGTTACAAGGACATAGCCAAGAAGGCGCATTCGAGTTCATGAATTATGCTCGAATTGCGGCAAGATGTTTAAATGGAACCCACTTGCAAAGGGGCATGACATCTTGCAAGAGCTTAAACTAGATTGATTAATTGAGGGGTGTCTCCTTTGGGGATCCTTTGCTTTTAGAATCAACCAAGTTTGCGTTCGGAAAGCAGAGTTTTCTTCGGGGAGACACTCTAAATGTCCAAGACACGCAAGCATGAGACTCTTCTCATGTCCAGGGACAGGGGTTCCAAGCCATTTTCCAATTGGGTTACCTCCAAACGTGGCGATCCTTTCAATGGACACCGCCAGTAAGTTGCAACTTTTGAAGGGCAATGGCTGTCTTTGGAACCAATTTGGGCGATCGTTTCGATGACCACCACCTGTAAATTGATCAACTTTTGATTTGGAAGCCCAATGACCCGATTTGAGGGAGGGTATAATTAACCGTAAACGTTGAACCCGGCTCGCTGCTCTTTGTTCACCCGGGTGCCGCAACTTGGCAGGGAGAGCAGCGAGTACTACATCTCCAAGGGCTTTCAGTTGGTGGTTTGCGCCCACGACAAGGCGGCCGTTTTGTTCAAGGGAGGTACAGCGGCCTGTGGCTAAAAAATGAATGGGGTTGTGGGATACTGAGGAAGCCGTATTTAGGCATCCCAGCGACCAAGCCAGCAACCAATATGGCACCAAGCTGTCCCAACCAGAATTCGTTGCGGATATCCGCCTTCTTAATTCTTGAAGCATGGTTCTGGGTAGACCATTTGGCTGTGGCTCAAAACACCTGTGCTAAAATGGAATCCTGGTAAGTGGAAACATGGACCAAAATGCTGCGGTTTGCCCCGCCTGCTTAATTTTGAGCCACATCCACATGGCTCTGGGATTACGACCATTTCAATGCCGGGTTTTGACTCAGGTGGCGCTGGCCAATGGGGCGGCGGCGCTGATGCCTCGGAGCTGCAAGCGGGTGAAGACCAGCCACGTGGGCGCCCTGCCGCGCCCGGACTGGCTGCCCATCCAAGGACGGATCGATGGAGACGGGACGAGTTGAAGGATTGACGCGTTTTTTTTGGCTTGCTTGACCTCATAGCGAATCGACCGGTTTTGGTGTGGAGAGCTAAGAAGCAAAAAGCGCCCCACGTGAGGAGAGCTGCCCCAGCCCCCTGACTACGCGAAGAAACTGCACGATGCAACGGTGGAGATCATGCAGAAGCAGCTCGATGTGGGCTTGGACGCAGCTGGGCCCGAAAAAAAAGGGTGCCTTCAAGCACTAGCCAAGAGAACCCAGCTCGTGGAACATGGGTAGCATATTTGTGAGTGTTGTCCCTGTTTGTTCCCAATCACGTATACCGTTAGGTGCTCCATTTGTAGTGGGGATTGATTCCCTGCCATGCTTGAAACAGGTTCAATCTGGGCGTAGATCAAAAATCGCAACCTCAGAAAGGGGTTCGTCTGAATGCTGAAGGTTTTCTTACACTTGGCGATTGCAAGTCATTGGTTGTGTGAATTGCTTGGGAAGCTCGAGTGGGAGTAAACAGGACCGGTGACCGGTATGACGAATTCAAACACTTTGCGATGATCGTTAATTGTGCAGATTGGTCTTTCAAAGTGACCAGGCGTGCCTGTCTTGGCTCAAGCCCTGTCAACAGAGTGTAAAATCCCTGTGCACACACCCCAGCACCCTTGGACAAGTCCCGCTCATCTTGAAATAACGTACAACTATTATATCACAAGTATGTTTCTCAATTTGAAGCTGTTCGACGAATCACAGCATCAGCTCTTTCACCTTGTCTCGTTTGCCAGCCACGATGTCACTCCCTGAGTTGCTGAACTTGAAACTTTTTGGGAGGACTATTTCAGTACTACACCATAGCATTGAACTGGTTTTGGTCAATCGACTCAGTGAGGTGTCTTTCACTGGCCTGTTCAGGTGCGAAATCAGCTGACCACAGCACTTAGATACGACAGATATGCCTGAAACGAGTTTGAAGAAGATATGCTTGAAGCATCTCAACAAGCAGATCCCAAAATTGACATCTGTTGCAAGAGATCCTTTGCGGTACCCCGCGCCTAAAATGATCAAACCTGCGTAACAAGTTGGTCGTGGGTCTCCTTTGGCTCTCTTTGGGGCATGTTGCGGATTTCTCCACAGGGGTTTCCCCCTTGAAATCCCCAGACAAGTTGCTCATGTTTGAGGAGTTGGTTGCGCCGAGTTGGATGCCGACCATCCAAGATGCCTCAACCCTGGGGAAAAATCAATTTGCTCGGCTTCATGTGCTACAGCGGGCCCTTGGATGTTCGAATGGGCTTGTGGACTACGTTGCACCCGCATAAAGTCATGACCAGGAGAGAAAGCTTATTTTGTTCCTTCTGTCGAATCCACCGTTTTAAGCATAGTGTCCCATGCTTTCCTATAACTAGGAAGACCTTCAGGGTTTTTTCGGCGTGTTTTCTTGGGGTCTAGGCTTCAACTTGCGCGTCCCCCTTAAAAGCCCAGAATTCTCAGGAGATCAACGACGGGGAGCTGGGGCGCCGGGGCTACGCCGCCACGGCGCGCCAGCGGCTGAGCGGCTTATGTCCCCCCAAAGCGGCGGAGGCGGGAGTCCCGGCCGGCCGATTGCGAGTTCGGGGGAGAAAACGAGCGAGGCCGCGAGGTCCATGCTTGGGGATCCCTTACTTTCAAGTCTTCAATATCTGGCAAGGGCATATTATCATAACATGGCAAAACCAGAAGGGTACTGTCCGGCGCATGTTTTGTTCTTTGACGAGTGGTGTGCACTCGCACCTCTTTCCCTGGGGTTGCCTGCCCCATTGGTAGGCCAGTGTTTCAGCCTGCTCTGTTTGTGCCGTTTCCTGCGCGTGGGTTACTGTACCCCAAGCGCTGCACCGGCATTCTTCCCAAGACTTCGCCCTTCCAAAGCGTTGGGTCCATTTTTATTGGGCCATGTTCAGAAGGGTACTTAGTTGCCCCAGGCCCTAGTTTTAGTTTGTTATTTTGTTTGTTTTTGGTGGGCCGCTTTGAAACAAACCAACAACAAAAGAGTGTGTTATTTCCCCGTGTCCACCAAAGTGTTTGTTCGTTTAGTGTGTTCAAAGTTTTCCCCAAGTAAGACCGTAGGATGCATGTGTTTGTTGGATTTGGTTCTATAATTATATGCATATGCAGTATACATGTACATACATGCATTATCATACCTATATAGCCCCTCTCCCGTCTACGACCTACTTACATGGGTTGAACTACGTGACGTGAGGTTATAATATATGGAAACAACTCCAGTAAAAAGTAATAATCATAATAAAACAAAAACATATTTCCAACCCCTACAGTCCCATGTATGACCCTCTGGTGGTCGTGATGCCACTCAGCGAAGGTGGGCTCCTGCACCGCAGCCATCGCCTACCTCCCAGAGGCAGGGGGTCCTGCGGCAGAGTGTGGGGGGAGGGGGGGAGGGGGGCCTTGCCGCAACTTCCATTTGCTTAATATTTGTTATTTTCCCTTGTCGGTTTTAAAAACAATCTATCACTACTGGACTTTTTTTTTACAGCGGTCTTAACCAAAACAAACAAGTTCCCAATCCCGCAGGGGAGGGATTGAGGTGTGAGGTCTGTTGGGGTTTGCCGTTACTCGAACTTAGCCCGTCTTATTTTTTGAGGGCGTCCGAAAAATAGAGCGTTATGTCCGTCATGTCCATGGATTTGGAGAAGCGAGAGTTTGGGCTTGCAGACAAGACGCGCACGAAACACCCGGTCTTGGCAAGAATCAGCACCCACGGGATGTTGGACGCACACTTTGGACTTGTTGTTGTTGACCCAACGTTTGCATCTGCGAGAGCGCCACCCTGCTAGCTTGGGGGGGGAACCCCTAGTGGACGAATTCCTTGAAGAGGTTTTTGCACCGATAAGGGAGTGTCTCCTTTTTCCCCGCGGGGTCAACAAGTGTCAAAAGGCGAAGCCGTCGCACAATTGGGCTCAAAGATGGGGTGGATACCAGCTGGGCCATGATCAAGGTTCTCGGTTTGTTGAACCTTTATTAGTTGCATGAAGGATATTCAGTTGGGCCGAGAATTAGGTTCCAGCACAAGTCTTGAGAGGAGAACCGAAGAGAGGCTTGAAGGAAGTCTGGTCTCTTCCCGGCTACATTGGCTCCACACACTGGGTTAGATAGGTCAGATTTTGCTTTCAGGGTTTGGAATTTATGCAGGGTTTGCGGTGCCGTGCGGGCCATTTGGGGTATCGGAGAAAGGGCTGTGTGGGCAGCGTGGGCCAGTGGTTGATGGCTTTTTTGATTTGGAGTCTGGGTCAGATCCAGGTTTCAGTCTAATGTGGTTCAGTGGAGTTTGGCTGGCTTTGCTTGGTTGGTTCGCTTGTTCGTTCATTGCGTGGATTTCCAAATTGGCTGACTGCCTTGCAGTCCGCTTTGTTTGCTTGTCAGGGTGTGGTTTGGTTTGGCAGGTTTCTTGGTTGGAGGGTTGCGGGATGTGCTATCCAGTGATTCCATGAAACCACCATTCCAACACACGGCAACAAAAACGAGTCACCTATCAGGGCAGATGGGATCCAGTGGCTTTTGTCGAACCATGTCAGTTGAAACCTTAGCCAGGGAGCCAAGTGTAAAAACTGCCTTTGAATGAGTGGATGTCAATGCAACTTTCTTCCGAGATGAAGGTACACTCAAGATGTCAATGCCAACCATGTACACTCCATTAATCTCCATTACATATTGATATGCACGTGGACATGGAGTTGACCAAAATGATAATTATCATGTTTGAATTGGCTTGGCATTGGGTTCCGTGTCAAGATATCGGTTTGGGTTGGCCCATATCGGTGTTGCAGGTTGATGTGAATCGATTTTAGGGTGGTCCCCTGTCAGTCTTTGGAATTTGCTTACTGTTGGGCCTTTTTCTGAATCAACATGGTTGGCTCCATGTACAGATTGCCAAAATGGGTCCCCCCCCCACCACGACAAAGAGCAGGCAATTACTATGCAAATACTATAAGGGCCGCACTTGCAAGTCCACATGCCAAGATGGGAGCAAGATGTTCCAACCTGCAAAGGGTTCTCAAAGGGCACCCTAAGCGCCCTTTGGAAACCAAGAAGTCCTCTAGTTTCACAGTCCCAAAAGCAAACCTGCTGAGCATAGGTGTCATTTTGAAGCTATGTTGGAAATCGATTCGCTCCACATTAGATTGGATTTCACAATGTGTCTCGATTCGCACTAATTTGTAGATTAGGTTCACAACATCAATTCACCATCTATTTGTTGCCCGAGAAAGGTATTCCACTCATCCACTCACTTCCCATGCTGATCACTGGTTGAGACCCCATGCTGAGCTGACGGGTTTCCCTTTTGGATCCATGGAACTGGCGCAGGGCCTGGAGGATCTGCGGGAGGAGCTGAGGCGAGTGCAGGCGGCTGCCCAGGAGCTCGTCGAAAAATGAGAAAACCTCGGTCGCTCGCTCGTATTGTGGGTGTCCCGAAGAAAAACGCGGAGCACACGACCTCCTCCAAAAAAAGGGGGGTGCGCCTTTAAAAAGGGAAGACCCTCCCTCCTTTGCCCCCTCCCCCCCCAAAGGAAAAAGAAAAGTGGAGTGGCTGGAAATGGCGTCTCACGTTTCGCTGTTTTGCGTGGAAGGAGCTGGGTGTTCCCATGGAGCGTGTCTTCTTCTCATCTCCGTCCCCGGGGACGTTGGCCAACTTCTTTGGCAACGAGTTCTACAAGACCCAAGAGGAGTGGCGCGGCCGCGATAAATGAAGCCAGGGACGACCCAAATGGTTCCATGTCCTCTGGGCTTGCGGGTGCTATTCGCAGGGATTGAGGGAAGGGGACCCCCAGGTTCATTTCCTCATTCCCCAGTCATCGCACCAGCAAGTAGAGGAAGCCATATGTTTTCCCCATGGTTCACATGGCTCGCGCTGCTCGCCTTTTTGGGCGATGCGGCCTGTGGAAAGATGTAAAACACATCGATATGGTAAACAGACAACCAAAAGGAGTCCAAAGAAGAGTTGCTTAAGCATCCAGACCCGCTGCTTTAGGTACTATTCTCCAAAGGCAAAAGAGCAATGCTTCTTTACGATCAGGAGCCACTCCGATTTAACTCCGGGCGGTGTTGACAAGTGTGGCCATCTTGCGCCTTACAATTTGCCGCACACTAACATCAGCTCTCAACGTCATTCCAAGAGGAGTCGCATGGAGTCGCCTTTTGGGCCCTCTCATTCCAGCGCGTGGAATTGGACAGGGCTCTCGAAGGAGGACATCCCGGATATCCCCCTAAAATGGGGGGCCTTTTGCTCCGGATGCTAATTTGTGTTCTTTTTCTTTGAGAATACCCTTTTGGGTTTGTAAAAGGGACAAGGAGGCAATGGCATGTACAGCAATGTTACTCAGACAGTATAAGGCCTGGCCAGGCCAAAGTTGGGGTGATTCAAATTACACCAGGTACCACCGGAGCTGCTCACGCTCCCCCCATTGCAAGTCCGGTCCGGCTGTAAAAGGGAGAAGGGAAACAAGGGAAACCACTTTTTTGGGGGCTCCGAGTCGACACACCCAGAAGCCAAGTGGCACCTCCGAGGTACATCGATGCGCTGGGCGCTGCCATGGCCACGGAGTATCGCGCTATCCAGGAGGCCAAAACCCGCTCGTCACTGTGTTGGGTATGGCTAGGACCGCTTCCTGAGAAAGACATGGCCTCCCCTTTGAAGTCGTTGAGAAAGGATAGGTGGGCCATGGAAATGAACTAGGTTGGTGTCAAAAGGGTGATTTCAACCACAAGCATGGCTTTTGTGGGCTGCAGGGTCCTAAACCTTGGCATTCAGCAACATGATCCAGGGTCCTAATGCGGACATCCCGTATTCACCGGCGAGTCATTCACTCAGTGCTGAGTTCAACATTCCATCTTGATTGTTTAGAAGACATGTGCTGCTAGCAGCTCAATCGCTGGACCAGCCCAATGAGCGCTTCCGAATGCTGTGACGCATGTTGTTGCCTATCTCAGGTGCATTAGCTGATACTTGTCTCTGGATATGCATGAATCTTTCTTTTTGTCCTACTTGTAAGGCGGCCGAGTCTACTGCCCTGGGGGGGCGGGGGGCGGAACACGAGGAAACTGATTTGTAATCCGAAGTGTGCAGGACACGTCGTTGTGTTTTGTAGCATGAAGCTGGGTTGTTTGAGTTCGGCCTTGTCGACTGAGTGAGGCTGCTGCACCTTCCATTGAGGTGGTTGAGGTGTGTTCATACATTTCCATTGGCCCAGCATCTTGCTGACAAGCGAAGTCATGGAGGCGGTTGCCTCACAAATTCAAAACTCAAGCCGAGCTTTCAACTGCGCTGATTTCTTTCATTTTCCAGTTTCACCAGTGTTATGTCGAGCCTGTTTGCAACATGTTCGCCTATTTGTGCCTGCAGACATGGCAAGTTGGCCCGATTTTCATCAGAACGGGCTGTGGCTCATGTTCTTCGGGAGACCTCCCATGTGTAATGGAAGGCAACCTGGAAGCGCACATGCCCTTGTCTGTTCGTTTTTGATCTTCAATCCCCTCTATTCAGCTATGCTGTTGTTGAGACCTGTTCCTGTGCATGCTTGTCCTGTATTGATTCTGGCATACCCTTTATTGGTCTTCAACGTCTTTCGGATTTGCTTGAAAGCGTAAAGTAGCCTTTTTATCACGCTTTGATTTATGTAGCCAATCTTCATCAGCCTTTGGTACCCGTAGTGAACCTGAATCAACCTGTTATACCCTCGACAAGCTGTTAATACCCTCTAGTCTGCTTGAATACCTTGTTGATCTTCAGGCAGTCCATTCGCCCTTGAACTCCTTTTATAAGCCTTTATCGCATAAGATCTAAAGCCCTGTCCTGATCCGAAGACCACAGGACACACAAGGACAAAAGTGGCAAGCTTGGACAATCCCCATAAAACACATGAACTTGGGGATTCCCATCGTTTTGCTTTGTGCATTTGTGCATTGATCTGGTTGGCGCAGGGTTAGCCTAAGAATTGCTAGTAGGTTACTCCTAAAACCACCCCACAACTCCATTCTAGCTGTTGCTGGAGCCATTTGAATACACACGCATCCCACTTGTTTTCTAGTTGAGGTTTGGGGAACCCGAAGTAAACAAGACAACAAACTCACCTGGACCCTCAAACTACCCGCAAGACAGGGTCATTTCGTAACCTGGGGTCAAGTTGAGGCCCCAGGAACTCGAACTCCACCCCAAGGCAAATCAAAAAAATCGCTGAATAGGCAACCCCATAGGCCACCCCATAGGCCCCACCCCATAACAACCAGAAAGCCACCCACCCCACCCCCCAGCTGCCACCCCCTGTCGCTTTCACTCGCGCGAGGCGGGCTTCAAGCTCCAGGTGGACTGCCCAGACCTGGCCATGGGCCGGCACACGCGGTTTGCCCAGAAGCCCTTGAGCCGCCTAGCGGATTGGGGCGGGCTGGGATTGTCCTCAGATGATGTCCCCGGATCAATAACCTCCTGTTTATTAATATGGGGGTGTCCCCGGTTTTAGTGGGGATGTATCACTTTTGGAGGGGAACACTGGGAACAAACAGGGGTTTATCTATCCGGGGTCAACATTATGATAGCCCTAGGGCCCTAGGGCTTCCCAAAATTTTCCTCAAACATGGTCCCAAGTTTTTTTCAGAGATTCTCCCAGGGTATTCGCAGGGTTTCCCAAGTTTTCCTCGGGGTATTTGCCAGATTTTCTCAATTTTCCAGGTTTTGTCAGGGACATATTCCCATGCTGTCCCCAGGGTATCCCAGCGTTTCTGAGGGTATTCCCAGATTGTCCCCGACTTTCCAGTGTTTTCCCCTGAAATTCGCAATTTTCTCCAGGGAGTTCTCTTATTTTCAGGGCATGTTGAAGGTTTTCCTCACATTACTCCCATATTTTCTCAACATGTCCCATATTTTTCCAGGCTATTCCCGTACCCCTATCGGTGCCCCTAAACAGCACTTTGCGATGTTTCCCTCTGCAGCGATTGGCATCCCAAAACGTCCGAATTCGTGTTCAGGTTGTTTGTTTTCGCATGTCAAGCAACATTCAAGCCGTTTTGGTTCCTCGCCAGTCAAGCCCTTGAGTCGTTTCTTCCTGTTACAAACAGAACCATTTGTGCCTGCTTATTTGAGACTACGGTTATGTTGGGGTAAAAACTAGCGCGCACCCTTTTCCGATGCGTCTTGAGCCAACGTTGCAGTTGGTCGTCCATGCTGTTCATGCTCACGAAATTTGAGTGCTCTCTTCACACTCCCCCTGTGGCATTCGCCACATCAGACCACATCCCAATTGGATGAGTCCGAAGACGAGGCCCTCTTATCGGATTCCTCATCTCGAAAAACTCCTTGAGGCCTACGGTCTTCAAAAGTCTCCGTCTCCGGGAACGTCAAGACCGGCCCCGCGTCCTTACCCCGCTTCTCCGAGCTGCCTCGTGCATAGCCATGGTGAACCTCTCCGCCACCAGACCCAATTGCCCTTGGATCCACGCTCGTTGAAGCCCTCGCACGATTCCTCGTGGATCTTCCGCCAGAATTCTGCGCCTTCCCGACCTTGATCCGGAAGAAGGTGTACCCCCGCCATGGTTGCATCTGCGAAGTCCTCTGTCGCTCTTGATGAGCCGTCCAGCTGTCCTCCACCACGGACCGAATCCCTAAAGGCGATGTGCCCGTGTGTAGCTTCACCGTGATCCTCCTCGATTCCAGCTGCGCTGCATCCAGCGGGAACTCCCTGTGGATCGGGTGGAACTTGCGCTTCCGAGGTTTTCCATGTGCGCGGATTGCCCATCCCGGCTGGGACCAATCCCATTCATCCTTGTTCTTGTTCTTGAGCATCGGGGGAACCTTGTACTGGTCGAGCTCCCACGGGAGTGCTGGTCCACCCTGATGCGAATCTTCCTCTGGATCTTCTGACTTCTTCTCCTCCTCAATCTTCTTCTCCTCAATCTTCTCCTCTGAAGATGGCTTCTTCAACAACCACCTCAAAGCTCGTAGCCGTGGTCGAACTTCTCGCTCCTGTGGGGCCCTGACGTGGGTGTTCCCAATCCTGGGACGGGCTGGTCCCGCGTCATCCGGGTTGTTGTCATCCCTCGGACTGCGGCTTCGTTCACGTTCACCCGGCAGTGAAGTGATCCCCAAGTCCCTCAAACCCACATTGCCCCGCAAAGGAGCCACAAACGTCGTAGATCCCGTCCAGGCATCTGCTTCGCGAAAAACATCCGTCCTCCAGTTGTCATTGATCACCCGCCGCCCGCGTCTGATGTCGACGAAGACCAAATTTGTCTGTCGCCGACCCTCCAGCATCGTAGCGTTGACCCCCGGCGGCATGTTCCTGGGATCCGGTTGAAAGTCCCGGTTTCTCCTCAGCATGTGGATGCGGGTCGCCACGATGAAGTCCCGCTCAAACGTCACCTCCCAAAAGTCCTCGGGCTCCTCATCCAATGACCCACGATCTGGACCACCCGGAGGTTCAGGCCATGGCTCACCCGGTGCCCCGATCGGCACCTGACCCTTACCTACTGATGCAGGGCAGCCCGTAGGGCAGTGGTAAAATGGCCTGCGGCAAAGATCCACCGGGTTTACCCTCGGGGCTGGTTCATTTTCCCTAGCCCATCTTGATGTCACAAAGGGGTCCTCTACTGCGGTCGGTTCATCTTCCCTGACCATCTTTGCAACCCTCATTGGGTTGTCCTCACGTGCGGCTGGTTCATTTTCCCTAGCCGATCTTGTTTCCCTCTTGGGTTGGGCCCATTGGCCTTTCAGCACGAATCCTACACCCACTCCAAGGGAGGCCAAGCAGACATCCCGGATCAGGCACGATCCCCGATCCTGAGGCTTCCAGCAGGCGATGAGGCCCATCAACCCACTCATCGCAGCGACCTTCACCGCTGCCTCCTTGCCAATGACCCGACCACCGTCTGCTTCTCCTGGTCCTGGCCGCGAAACCACCTCCGACTCATCTTTGATCATGCCCGCCATGGAGTAGAATCGAAGCCACTGGGTCCTCGCCGCGACCGCCTTCGTGAGGTAGTCAGCCACCAACCCGCTAGCCGGCAAATGTCGGATCTGCCATTCCCCTTCTCGCACTCTTTCCCGCAGCACGTTGGATCGAAGGCGCAAATGCCGTGTTCGCCACGGTCCCGAAGGACTTTGCACGATTGCCAAGGCCGCCGTGTTGTCCCCGTAGATCACCCGCTCCGCCTCCTTGGCGCTCCAGCATCCCCCTTCGGTGATGTCCAGGATGGCACAGAGGGAGTCTCCCATGATCATGGCCTCGATATAGCCCACCAACTCCGCCTCTGCCGTGCTGAGGGTGCAAAAAGGCTGTCGACCCGATTCCCATTGGACGAGGGCACCACCATAGAATCCCAAAACTCCCTGGTGGCTCTTCTCTCCCTGCGGCGCAAAAGAGATGTCCGCGTACATTTCCAGCCGCCTCATCGATCTCGCGAAAGGAAGATTTCCTTCTGCTCCTCGGTCTCCCAGGCAGCGCCCATAGACCAGTCCCAAGTCCTTCGTGCCGTAAAGGTAGGCCATCATGTCCTTCCCAGCCTTCACGACTTCCAAAGGGCACCGGGTGACATGTTGCGACATCCAGGAAACCCCGAATGCCACATCCGGCCTGGTGCGCACCGACACCCATAGCAATTCTCCAACCAGTCCCTGCGCCTCCCGGATGCCATCTTGCGTGACCACCGGATTCTCAGGCACCTCCGGCTTGTAGAACGGGGCCGGTTTAGCCATCACCACCTCGTGACGCTGCATCAGCTCCGAGATGTACGAGGGTTGTGCTACCCGGAGAGTCTCACCGTCCTCGTCCCACTTCAACTCCATTCCGCAGAACTTCGTCCATCCTGCCTTGTTCACCCACTCCGGCGCGCTGCAAACCCACTCCTGATTGATCCTCTTGATGACATTCTCCACCAAGGAAGTAGGTCCCACCGCCAAAAAGTCATCCACGTAGATCACCAAGTAGCCGCAGGGCTTAGGGTCCTTGCGAGCCCCGGCCTCAAACTCCACCATAGACCATACACTGGTTTCCGGCGTCCGTTCCAAGCCATAGGTCCTGCCAGGTGAAGCCCGCTAGCCCTTGATCTCGGAACGCTGACCAATCTGCTGGACTGGTGTCCAGGCCGTACATGGCTCCTTGAACCAACCACCGCTCCGACGCCTTGACGATCCCAGCCTCCACCAAAACCTTCGGGGGCCTTGTGATAAGGGTTCGCCGGGTCTCCTTCCGGGGCGCCAGCAGGAAGGCACACTTCACATCCACGGTTGCCAAGGACCACTGTTCGTGGGCTCCCTTTCTCAGAACGCACCTCAGAGCCGTCCCGTCGATGCCCCCGGCATAGTTCTCGGCCTTGTCAGCCGAGGTCCGCGCCACCTTGCCGTTGCCGTCCGCCAGCAAATTGCCACATATCACTGCCCTCGCCCTCTTTCTTCCTGTCGGGGCCTTGATGGTCGTGACCAGCTTCCCCGGGGCGTACTCGGCATCTTCAATCCCCGGAACCGCCGCCAGATCGCACTCGTCGATGGGCTTGACCACCTCTGTGTTCACCAGAGAGTGATACTCGTCCATCATGGCCTCTCTCCACGCTTCCAGATCCTTCCGCACCTCCTGCAACGGCACCGTGTAGGTTTGCAGAACCTTCGCCGGTTCTTCTCCATCTGCTCCCTGCAGTCCTGCCAGCTTGTGGAAGTCCTTATTCTCCCGGTCCTGCATGATCACCAGGTCATCCTCCAGCTGGTTGATGCCACCCAGGAGGAACTCCATCGCTGCTCCTTGACCATTCCCGGTGATCTCATCCATGGGGATCACCTTGAGCTCCTCCGCCAGTGCTTCCTTAAAGCCCCACTGGTAGCTGCTCATAAGATTCTTCGTCTCCTCCAGGCTTTCTTCAAAACTCCATGATTTTGATGGAGAGGTGTACTCCCCCCCCGTTCGCAGTTCACGCAGAGCGGGTGCCAGACCTTCTCCATCTGCAGCTGGATGCCCTTCTGCTCCGTCTCCCCCCAGTTTAGGGCCTGGATCCAGACTCTGCTTGCCCGTCAACCGTGTTCTCGGTCTCCCTGGACGTTCCTCCATCTCCAACTCATACCTCACTCTTCCCGCCTCCAGGTCCCTTGCGTGGTCGGCCCCCTCGTCGGGCAGAACAGCCGCCCTTGTGTGTTGGATGGCCCCGTCTTCTGTCTGAACCACCCAGCCCCAACTCATCATTGGACTAGGACCCAGTAGGCGTACTTCTCGAAATGGAGAAGCCAGGGGGCCCTTCTTATGCCACCGCTTTGTCTTCACCATCACCTTGGAGTAGAACGGGAGCATCGGGAAGGTGTCCACCCCAAGTCTCTGGAGCTGCATCTGGTTCCTTTGCAGCACCACATGCCGTAGTGCCGTAGGCCACAGCTTCACCGGAGCCCCTGAATCCTTGAGGACCACTCGCAGCCTTCTCTTCACCTGGTTGACCTCCGTCTCTACTCGTCCATTGGCCGCGTGGTCATCGCCCGCTGTCATTGTGAGCAACAGATTGTGCTCCAAACACCACTGCTGCACCGGCCTTGCCAGGAACTCCTTCGCCCGATCGCAATGCATGCGGTACAGCGGGATGCCCAGGCTGCGATACTTCACAAAGATCAGGCTGATGGCTCTAATGACCTCTCTGGCGCTCCTGGATTCCATCACCTCCGCCATCGTGACGTTCTGCACCGCGACGCCCTTCATAGCGTCGGCCATCTCGTCCTTAACCTTGTCGTTGAGCCTCTTGGCCTCCTCGTCTGATGCACGGGGTTGATCCTCCTCCTCTTCCCAATCTGCTGGATTCGGGTCCTCCTCCTCCGGCTCGGCCGCTTCTGAAGGCTCCTTGTCCCCAGCTCCAATTGGGATCGGGACCGTCCCAATCAGCACATACTTCACCTTTCTGCTTGTTCCGACGTCCTCCCCTGTCGAAAACGGCCCAGCAATGTCCACATTGAGGACATAGGACGGAATGTCTGCCTTCAATCTCCGATGTTGCCGGTCCTCCAGCCTCCTGCATACAGATACGGCACCGTCGATTGAACGGAGTGTGCCCCCGCCCCACGTGCTGCTTCCACTTCTCCAGGGTCATCTTCTTGAGCTCCCCTGCCTCCATGGCTTTCTCTTCCTTCCGCTCTTCGAGCCTTTTGACCAGCTCCTTGAGGGACATCTTGATGGCCGCCACCAACCCAGGCGCCCATTTCGCCCAGGTTTTCGTCTGGACCAGCCTCTTGCGGAGGTCGCCCTCCATCTCTTGATGACCTTGGCCCTTCATTCCGTGGAGCTCCCCCATGCCTGGCAGGTTGGTTGCCAGCGTGGTGGGTTTTCTCCTCGGATGGCCCGCCGCTCCTTGATCAAAGCTCACCAGGTCCATCATGTTCTCCTGGCAAAAGTCCTGAACCTCCTGGAAGTTCCAAAAAGAGGGTACATCCAGCTCCACTGCTCTGGGATCATACTCCATTGGGTCCATGGGGGACTCCAGCAAGAAGCCCACAGGTCCCTTCTTTTCCTCGGAGCATTCCTGCGCCCGAAGCCACAGGCCCATCTGCTTGAAGAACAACGCCGTGTCCCCATTAACCTTCTTTCTGTCCTCCTCCGAAAGGCCAGGAAGGCCAAACCTGCAAACGCCCCTTCCTCTCAGAGGTGGGGGTCCAGGCTGGTGATGCCTCAATCTTGACACAGTTCGGCACGGCGGTCCCCCCACCACTGCCTTGATCAGCCCCTTCTCCGCCAGGCTCCAAAGGTATCCCCACAACGCACCGTCATGAAGATTCTGCCTGACGTCCTCCTCTATGTCGACCGTGACGACCTCATAGCCGCCCCAATCCTCCTTCCGCCATTCCTTGGCATCACGGCCAGCGAAAAGATGCACCACGACGCCCTTGCTCGTTTCCCACTTCCTCCTCAATCTCCGATTGAAGGGGCATCGCGCAGCAACCTCTGCTTCTCCTTCCACCCGGCCCATGAGCTTCAGGACCTCATCCGGGATGCTCGGAAACCACCGCTGCCACCGCTCCTCATCCATCGTTCCTGTAGCCGCCTTCTCCGGGGCATCCAAGAAGTCCATCAGCTTCATCGCCTCTGACCTTCGCATGACCGGACAGCCATACCGCAGCCAGCAGTGCAGCTTTCCGTGGCCGGGGTGCTCAATGCTGCACCCCTTAGCATTCCACCTCACCACAAATCCAGCGTCTACCAACATCCTCAGCGGTATGATGGGCTCCACCGGCTCCAGCGTCAAAATGGCAGACGTTCCGGCATGCTTGTACAGCACCGTACTCCCGCAAGCCAGTTCCACCTCCACCGCCGTGAGATTGTCCCTCTCGTCTCGTCGAGCTTGTCGTAGCGCGTGGGTGGCTCCGCCGTCCAACAACGCCACCTGCTCCTTTTCCTCACTCCTTCCTGCTTCCTTCCCGGCCGCAGCATACTTGATCTGCAACGCCCGGATAGACCTCAAAGACTTCAGCAGGCCTGCCAATTCTGTCAGCAAACCTGAGGCTTCTTCCGACCCTCCAGGGGGCGGTCTGGCCTGCTCTCCTGTTGATCTCGAAGCCGATGAGGCGGCACCAGGGTTCCACCCCGTAGCCTCCCGGGACGCCTCCTCCGCGGAGCCCGGTGAGCCACTAAGGCGGGCCCCTTCGCCGCCAGCGGCCTGACCTTCTGTCGGCCCCTTCTCATCTCCTGGCTTCTTGACCTTGGACACCTTTGGAGCCGACTGCTTCCAAGGGCTCACAGTCGTGGGTTTCTTGACCGGGCAATCCCTCTTTGAGTGGCCCATCCCGGAACACGCAAAGCATCTGTTGGTTTTCTCCAGGCCTTCCCACGAATGTGCATAGGTGCAGCTGCTCCCCTTCTTGCATCCTCCATCTGTTCCCCAAAACCTACAAGCAGGGCCTTGGGGCTTTCTCCTGTTGTCCGTCACCTCCGGAGTCGCATCCGTAGCTCCTGCTGCCGCCAACGCCTTCAGGCTAGAGGTCGCAGGGCCCGTTCCCCTTGCTCCCGGAGTCGATGCCGCCTTAATCGCTGTCGTCAGCGAGAGCTCTTCTGCTTCAGCCTGCAGGTACTCCGCGAACTGCTTGATCTTCCCGATCTGAGGCCGAATATCAATCTGCAGCTCCTGCCGAACCGAGGAGATTCTAAATGAAGCCTGAGCCCCGGTCTTGCCGACCACCTCTGCGATCTTTCCCAAGACCGTGATCAGCACCAGCCCGTCCGGAAGCGCCACATCCAACTCCTCAGCTCTTGCCAACCATCTCCTCCACAGTCTCAAGGTCTGCAGAGCATCACACAGGTTAGCCCCCACCTTCGGGTCGGTGAGGTGCTTCAACAGGTTGCCCCTCTCCGAGGTGCCTCCAGGTTGATATACCTGGTGAAGCCGGAACATGATCTCCGTCGCAGACATCATCCGGGCAGAGATGATCTCCCTCCTGATGGGGTCCGGCAAGGCCGCCAGTAGCATCGACAATCCCCTTTGCTCAACCCGGTGATTGTGTGCCTCAACATCCCCCAGCGTGGGCTTCAACCGGAGCTTCTCCAACGGTGTCGCCGTAAGCCACTCCGCGTAGGTAAGCTCCGCCTTCTGCAGGACCTGCTCCCACCATAGCCTGGCCGATCCCGCAATGTCTGACATCAGCGGGGTGATGACCGTCACCCAGTCTCCAAATTGCAGTGACGACCCCTCACCTCCGGGCGGGGGTAGACTAGGAAGCTCCAAATTCCTCAGGGCCTCCGACAATGTAAAGGCCGTCGTAGCTTCACCACCTCCTTCCGTCGGTCTCGGAGGCGGTGGAGGCGGCGGTGGAGGAGGTCGATCCTCAGTGGCCCATCCATGAGCCAAGTTCCTCACCGCTTCAGGGTGAGGCGGTGGCACCGGACCACCAGTTGCTCCTCCGTCCGACGCCGTCTTGTAGGAAACATCGTCTCCCGCCCTTGCTGCTTGCAGCCTCATAACCTCCCGCTCAAAGGTCTCCTCCGCTTCTCGAAGAACCCTTTTCCGTAGGTCCTCCACTTCACGATCTCCTCCAGAGCCAGGTTCCCGACGCTCCTGCGATGAAGCACCTCCCGGTGGCACCCGACTAAGGGCCACTCGTTGCTGCACCTCAGGACTCCAGAACGGATTCACCGCTCCAGGGCCCGGTGTTCCACCTCCATTCCTGCCGTAGAGGTCGTTCTGCGGCGTCCAATTGGCATAGGGCTCCAACTGCCTGGGCCGGACTTCCATCAATCCTCCAAGCAGACCTGGTTCGCTGCTTCTCCGAATGCCTTGATCGTGCCCTCCAGGAGGTCCGGGTCCATTGCCTCCACGAGCACCCTGATCATGGCCTCCGGAAAACCCATGTCCCTTACCTCCCTGACCCGCCTGATCGTGCCCTCCAGGAAATCCACGTCCATGGCCTCCATGGTCCGCCTGATCATGGCCTCCAGGAAACCCATGTCCGTGGCCTCCACGACCCGCCTGATCATGCCCTCCAGGAAACCCACGTCCATGGCCCCCATGGTCCGCCTGATCATGCCCTCCAGGAAATCCACGTCCATGGCCTCCACGGAAGACTTGATCTTGCCCTCCAGGAAACCCAGGATCTCCACAAGGCTCCTGGTATCGCCGAGGATCAAGGCTTCCCGTCCCGTCACCATCATTCTCATCCAACCTGTGATGAGTTGCCTGGCCGCGAACCTGCCCTTCTCGCTGTCCCGGACCTTGCCCATCACGACTGCCCCGGGTTGTCCTTCTCCAGGATGTTGGCCCGGCCTCTCCATTCCCGTTTCTCCAGGTGGCAAAGGTGGGCCACGGTCTCCTGCCCCTCCCGTACCATGTTCATCTCCGTGATGTAGTCCCGGAGGTAGCGTCCACACCTCGGGTTCCCGACCCGCCGGCTCCCCACCGGCTGTCATCCTCCGAAGATCGCGCCTCTCCCCCAGGTTCTCCGACCTTGCCCTCCGGGAAGACCCATGCTCGCGGATCATCCTGTCCAGCGCCTGGTCGGCGGTTTCTCCTTCACGAACAAGATCTTGTTGTTGTCTTCGCCTGCGCATCATGGCTGGCTTGGGCTCATAACCTACGGTTATGTTGGGGTAAAAACTAGCGCGCACCCTTTTCCGATGCGTCTTGAGCCAACGTTGCAGTTGGTCGTCCATGCTGTTCATGCTCACGAAATTTGAGTGCTCTCTTCACAGAGACAAACAGTTGAGTCACGTAATAGCGAAAGAACGAGCTTCCAATGAGGTAAACATCAATTTGAATATCGAACGGACAGCTATTAATTGCCTAACACACAAGCGTTTAACGGCGTAACAAGGCATTTCATGGAGTCTAATACAAAGAGCTGACAAGGAGTCTCACAAGGCCTTACAAGAGGCTTACAAGGCCTTACAAGGAGCCGTCTTACAAGGCCTTGCAAGGAGTCTTACGATTACAAGGAGTCTTACAAGTCTGACAAGGCCAAACAAGGAGTCTTGGAAGGCATTTACAAGGCCTTACAAGGAGTCTTACAAGGCCTTACAAGGAGTCTTAACACCCGTACCTGGAGAGAGCGTGATCGGCAGAGGGCCGATGAGGAGGCCGAGCAGCGCACTGTGGCGGGATTGGCGGGCAGGAATGCAGAGACCAGAGAGGACTCTGACTGGTACTACACCCGGTACAACGAGTGGAACTGGACTCATTGGTGAGATGTTTTTGCCGTGTCCATCTTGCAGAACTCATGCGCAATGCGGCCTTTGCCGCGCTAGCGGTCATCTCTGCTCGCAGCGCCATGTTGAGCTTGTCGAAGCACATCTGCTCCATGAATTCACTTTCAATCTTGCATGCACGGACCTTGCTGCCGTTCAAAACGGTTTGCAGCTTTTGCGATCGAATAGCTTCTTTACTTGCAAGGGCGATATCGATACTTTCTTTCAAACAGTTCAAGTCTTTCCGGGCTAACATGTTTGCAGGGGAACTTTTGTGTCTGATTTGTCACCGTAAGCCATGTGTAGTAAGTCCATCCCAGCAATGTAGGAAGCCTTGTACATCACTTGCCCATGATACACTGCATGTGGAATGCCTAGCATGATTGATTATGCGTTGTCCGGGCAGGCCCCGCTCGGAACCCCAATCCCAACCCGAACCCCCGAACCCGAACCAACGTTTTTGTGCAGGTTACCCAGTTTCTTCAATCATCGACGACAAAACACGGAGTTCCTTATCTTCACATCAAACGTTGAAATCCTTCTCAAGAGGTTGAAGGCAGCCTGGGTGGACTTGATGTATGTTTACACGGCACAGTCACCAGAGTATCACAGAACAATTGCTTGACATAAGCAGGCCACCGGTGCCCGAGCACCGCCTCCAGCGCTGCTTGCCGAAGCCTCAAGTACTCAGCCAGTACATCGCTGGCACGCAGCAAAGACACAGGGACGCATCCCCCCGTAGTGACAACCTCATTGCACAGACGTGCATAATCCAGAGTGAGTTGACAAATCAGCAGAGAGAAAGACTGCTCAGCGCAATGTCTTTGAGGAACATCACACTCGACAATTGTTCATACGAGATGTTGAAGACACAGTACCACCATCTCTTCATCACAACCAGAACATCCATCCAAGATCCATCCATCCGACCTCCCGGAGGAAACAGAAGCAATGCCTTCTGCATCCTGGAACAAGGAGAGTATGAAGGAGAAGAAGGCTTCTGGGTGAAGGATGAAGCAGGATTTGAAGGGTTCGTGCTCCTCAAGGCAGATCCGAACGTCTACTCCGTTCCCGAGCATGTGCAAGAGTCAGGAGGAAAGCCCGGTAAGCTTAAGGTCAGACTCATTCAACATGACCGGGTGACGTTGACAGATCCATTCTCAATGCAGAATCAATTTGTCAGCTTCTCTAACTTCAAGGCCAAGCCGATTGTCCATCTCATCCTACGACATGAGAATAGGACAAGTGCGCCCGTCAATCCAGGTGGACCACGCCAGCTCTACAGACTTCTTGGGCGCCGTAGACCGCGCGGTGAACTTGCTGGGCAGCAAGCTTGGCATAATCCTGATGACCTTGTGTCTGAAACGCGGCAAGTCCCGATTCGAGATCGCGTTGGTGTATCCAACCTACGATGGGTCCTACGATGACCCGAAGAACAACAACCTTGTCCCAAACATCGATGATTGACAACCACTTCCGGTGCTCTGTGGCCCCCGGATCTATCTCAGTAAGATCCTCTGATGCACACCGCGTGGATGTATTGATCAATGAATGTCCCTGGTAAATAGTCTTGTAAATAGTTTTCATGGAGAGCGCGCTGCAAGGGTTAGCGCAAGTGCATGGATTGCTACACTGAGCGTAAAAAGAGAGGGCCCTTGAGCCAAAGTTGCAAGTGACATGTGTGGGTTCAATGACTGCAAAAGTCCACACCCATGAGGGTTCCCCCAAAAATTCCTACACTGCCCAATGATTTTGCTGGATTTTCCTGAATCCTCCCAGATATTCTTCAGGGTTTTATCAGGGCCTTCTTCGCAGGATTTCGCAGGTTGTCACTGCAGGTAAACACAGACTACTCCCAAAAAAGTGTCGCTGAGTAATCCTCTCAGGGTCTTCTCATATTGCCCACAGTTTTCCGGGTTTCCCCAATTTATGTTGAAATTGCTCAGAGTTTCCCAGGTAGGGTTCCCACATGGTTTGCCAGGGCCTGGGGTAATTTGTGGGTTTTCCCATATTGCCTCCTCGTCGCCTCAAATATTCTTATGCCCCAGATTTCCCATGGTTTAATCAGACTTCCATATTGTTGCCAAGGCTTCCAGGGTCTTCGCATATTGTCCGCAAGGTTCCCAGTTGTTTCTAAGCATATTCCCAGGTTGTCCGCAGTGTTCCACTATTGTCCCCAGCATTTCCCAGTCCCAGGGTTTTGCCCAGAGAATTTTTCAGGGACTCCCTAGTGTATTGTCAGACTTTCTTAAAGGGATCGGCCATCAAAACCAAAATGGCCATTTGCGGTTTTCCTTTGGGTTTCCTGCTTGGAGCACCCTTGGAACCAATTTTGCGGGTTGGTTTCGGGGAAGCCCAAAAGGAAGCTAGTCAGTTTGGGGGGGTCCAAACTTATTTTTTTCACACATCAGTTAGTTGGATTTGGAGAGGGATATGGATATAAGCAAATGCTCGGGTTTTTCCTGGTTTCATTGATTGGCTATCTTCTGCAGTTTTTCCTGTTTTACCCGCTTGGTTTTCGAACTGGAGCTCTGTCTTCATCTGGGGGACGTCTCTGAGGCGAGTTCTTGAAAGCGGCCAAGTACCACGTCCAGGTCATGAACCAGGCGACCCTCATTTTTTTTTGGTTTGGGGCCATAGTGGGTAGGGCTTGCCACCCTTTGAAACGTTGCCTACAAGGAACCCATACTATGGGCAAGTCAGTTTGGTAGGTCACCACCTTGTTGCTAAAATGAAAATCGCTGGTAGCGTGGGACACTGGGATCCACTAGGCTGATCCACTGGGGGTTCGGCGTGGCTCAACATGAAAAGAGTCGGGGCAAACCGCAGGTTTCGGTCTTTGTCTCCAGTTGCCAAGGGGCCATTGTAGGAATTCCATTGTTTGAGCCACAGCCAATATGGGTTTTGTTTTTACGCTTTTTGCCCTTTTCCTCCGGGACCCTAGACCCTTTCTTAAAAGGTGGGTGAATGGAAACTGAGTTCAGAATACACCCATTGTTGATTTCGATTGAGGGGGTTGCTTGGGAACATCTCAATCCGGGTTGATGAATCTAGGGCAACATTAGCGCCAGGGTGCCCTGGTCAAAACACCATTTGTCGCGTGGTGAGTTTCTGCAAAAGGCACCGCTTTTAGTGGCGATGTGTTTCAACCCATGGTGGGTTGATGCACACAGCAAGAGAAAACTGCGCCCTTGCAAATCGAAGGGACTCCAGGTGTTCCAGAGAGTTGGAGTTTTTGCCCTCAAGTGCTTCATGTCATGTCCAGCCATTGCCAAACTTGGCTTACGATGTTAGCCTTTTTGGATTTCTAATAGGTTAACTTTCTGCAGGGGGCGGTTTAAGTCTGGTCAAGCAACTCGACCATCGCTTTGGCGTTAGCTGAAGAACCCAGGTAAGTGAGTCATACGCAACAGCCTTGCCATACATCGGCAAGGAAAGCTTTCCAACCTTTCTTGTTCATCCATGGTCTCTTAGTAGTCCCCTTTTACTCCCAGATTGTGTGTATGACATCGTATTCACCATATGTCCGACTTGGGATCCTGCAACGGTGATTTCCCCGTTCGCTGTCAACTGGTATCTTTCAGATAAAACCCGATTTTTGTTGGGGTTGCCCAAAAAGAGATTCCCTTTCGCATGGTGCCTTGGGTGCCATCTTGATTTGGGTGTGTGTGCCTCAAAATTGTGGGTTTTTCCTCTTTCCTTCAAACGAACCCCCCAAAGAACCCAAGACAGACTCATTCGAGACAGAACCGTTTTTCGCCAAGCCGGCTCAAGCCCCAGGCTTTGGAAGGCCTGGACTGCTCCAAGATCCGCATGCATGCGGCTCGTCGGTCCGGTCCCCTTTGCGTACCAAAAAAGCACACGCAGTCAGCACCAGAAAGGCGTACAATGACTGTCTACCCAAGGGCTTGCACATAAAATGAAGGTATCTTAGGGGTGTGTCAATTTGTGCATGACCTTGCTTCCCCCGTGAAACTGTTGTTGTTTCTAGCGGCACGAACAGGGCTGTCAAAACTCGATTAGTTTGGCTCTGGGCATTGTCTCCTTCCCTTGTTTTTGCTTCGAAAGGCTTGCCGAACAGACACTCAGGCAAAGGCGGGTTGAACTCCCTGCAGTCAAGTGTCTTGTTTTAGGATTTGAGTTGTTTTTTTCAAAAGGAAGGTCCGATTCCTATTTTGAAAGGGAGACACCCATGTTGGTATCAACAGGCGCTGCAGCGTTCCCTCGCGCTCGCGCGCCGAGCTTCGATTCTCCTAGTTTTTGCTGGTCAGACTCGGCGCAAGGGATGAGCTGAAACAGCTGAAAAACAAAACAGATGCGGTCTCAGATTTCACGGAAAGCCCTCGTCGTCGCGCTTGTCCGCTTCGTTCTCTCTTTCTGTTTGTTTGGTAGAGCTGGTTTTCTTCCAGCATCATGCAGGTGTTCCACGTAAACATCCACGTATGGTGTATTTCAAGGAACGCCGTTGACTCTCGCCTGTTTGGGAACATGACAAGAAGAGCCCCACATAAACAACACCACTTTGCACTCAAAACCCCTCAGGAACCTCTCCAGCGATCGATTCAGCCGGCCGGGGGTGTCTTAGGTGTGCTGGGGCAACTCTCCGGCCCCCCACGACGTGGCCTTGGCGGACATCGCGGCGCTCGTGTTGTCCGCGAAGCCCAGGTTCATCTCCTTCGAGGACTGGCGACCTCCGCGAGTCAGAGAGTTAAACCTCGGGGTTGCTCTTTCCGGGGCGTGCCATCCGATCACCAGGGTTGCTCCGAAGTTCATGACAATGTTCAAGCCATTAGGATTGGAATGTGTTTTTTTTTGTATATAATTGAAAGCACAAAAAAAACGACCTGTTTGAGGTGGTTCCCTTCCAATCGTTGGCAGTATGTATGTTGATGTATATGTGTACGGCCTGGAAAATATATACACATCGTCTCTAGAGAATATACATATATTGCGTAAAAAACATAAGTAGGTACAGCCCCTGCGCCGAGACTTTGTCACGTTTCCTGCAATCATAGACCCCATGGGTGGCACCTGCTGTTGGCCAGATGCGGTTGCTATTCCTGCAAATTAGCACAGAGCCTGAACGGGCGGGATGCCGTTCCCAGGAGACTTCTCTGAACAAACTGGCTTGTGAGTGTAAGTGCCAAAATCAGGCGGATCTCTAGCTGCGCCTGGTTGACCCTGGCCGGGGGGGGGGGGTCCTCACTGGGTTCTTGTGGGATGCCACTGAACAAAGATGACCTTGCATTGATGAGGATGTGCATACATATTTTTGCATACAAAGAGATAACTTGCATATCTTCATATTGCAGCAAGGGCAAGAGTTGTTAAATCCCGCAGTGGGCTGAAGCGGCTGACCAGCACAGTGTTTACCCCCCTTTGCACTAACGTGGAGCCTGACTGTTTGGGCTCCTGGAAGACATGAAAGGGAATGTCTGGTTGGTTCCATGGCAACGTGGCTCACTCCCCACCAGCTCATGGACTTTCATCACTTCTTGGGGTTGGGCCGGACACGTTGTTTGGCCAATCCGCTCGATGGGAAGTGAGTTGCCTCCAGTGGCAAACAAGAAGCTTGGCTTACTTTTTCTGGGCCAATCCGTTGGATAAGCCAGGTGGAGGGGAACAAAACAGAAGCGCATGCCGAGGCGTGCAACCCGGGCCATGCCCATGAGCACGAGGTCTGGAAGACTGCCACTCGCTGAAGCTAGTGACAGGCCCCCTCCACACTCTGGGGGACATGGACTGGTTGTTCATCTTTTTTGGAGGGTGCCTTTTAAAAGGTCAACCACAACGAACACCACATGTTTTGTGGTTTTTCTCGTGTTTGTTGCGCTTGGGGTCCCTTAAAAGGGGCACACACCCATATGGAGCCTGGTAGCGTTCGGTTGGGCCGCTCTTTGGGGAATTGGGGCAAAGCACTTCGTGCTCTCTTGCCTTGTTGGCATCTCGCCCTCGCGTTCATTTCAAGGACATGTTATGTGAGTCGTCCATGCATGCATGCATGCATGCATGCATGCATGCATCCATCCATCCATCCATCCATCCATCCATCCATCCATCCATCCATCCATCCATCCATCCACCCATCCAAACATCCACCCATCCACCCATCCACCCATCCACCCATCCACCCATCCCAGCCACCAAGCCACCCAGCCACCCAGCCATCCATCCATCCATCCATCCATCCATGCATCCATGCATCCATGCATCCATGCATCCACCCATCCAAACATCCACCCATCCACCCATCCACCCATCCACCCATCCACCCACCCATCCACCCATCCGCACATCGACCCATCCATCCATCCATCCATCCATGCAGCCAGCCAGCCAGCCAGCCAGCCAGCCAGCCAGCCAGCCAGCCAGCCAGCCATCCATCCATCCATCCATCCATCCATCCATCCATCCATCCATCCATCCATCCATCCATCCATCCATCCATCCATCCATCCATCGGAACAAACAAATATCAAGGTGGGCTTTGGGGGGGCTACTTGATTTGATGTTTGTTCTTTGTTTTGTGCAGAAAACGCCGGGAAACCATCCGACACCGAGCAGCGCACTTCCCAACCGTCGCACAACATCCCTGTTTGGCTGCTGCGCATTCTAAGAGTTGAACCTGAATCCCAGATTTTTGTCCTCCAAAAGGTCCGGGCTCAAAACGGCGTCACCCCAAAACAAGTGGATGGCCTCATGTTTGATTCGAGTCAGAAGGAGACTCCGGGCACCAACGGGTCCGAAACAAACATAATTCAGGTGAAGGTGCCGGCGGACAAGGTGCTGATGCCCGGAGTGCTGGACACCACCACTGCCCACGTCGAGCACCACCGGCTGGTGACCCAGCGCCTGCAGGCTTCGGCTGTTGGAGCGAGGGGCCGCAGAGATGGAGAGAGTTGGACCTGAGGTGTTTCTTTCCCCAACGGCTGGAAGCTATGGGGTCTTGGCGGGTGGTTTGGGGCAGCTTTCTGGGAGGGTTGCAGAGGGTTCCAGTTGGGGATACTTACCACCTGGGCTTCTTCTTTTTGTGGGGGGGGGGTGTTGTTCGATGGGTTTTGTGGGAGAACTTCGTTGTTGTTCGGGGTGGCTTGTGTAAACATATTTGTCGCATGGCATGCTGAGTCCGAAAGGGTGCAATTACCTGAAATTCTCGCACCTAATGCCCAAACAGGGTGTTCTAGGAAACCTTTTTCAAGTAGCATGTGTTTTGATATGTTTTTACCCAATTCAATCCGCGTTGGTGACAACAGGACCATTCGCCTAACGGGTAAGGCGTCATTGCTTCAGCCTTAAACCCATGTCATTAGTGGGTCGAAACCACCCTGGTCCGTTTTTCATTATTTTAATTCCATAATACCGAAAAAGATTATGTTGCAAAAAGCGGTCTAAACAAAGTTTCCGGCGATGTATTGGCTGCAACAACTTAAACTGGCAAATATGGAAGGGTCTCGGCACGGCTTGTCAGAGTACCAGTCGATGTGTTGCTGTTCTCAGATGTCGAGCACAAGTTTGGGCGTTTGGGATTGTATTGGTGGGAATTGGGGCGTTGCGAGGGAATGAGAAGCATTCGCTGGCACTGCCTGAGATAGTCACAATCGCTTTGACACGTGCAAAGCCACCAAAAGCAACAAGGAGATGGGCAGCCAAAACCCGAAGGCAAGCCACCACTTTTGGTGACCCAGAAGAGCAACGGTAATGACATGTGGGCGGCAATGTTGATCCATCACTGCAACGGAGCAAACATTGGGGCAAGCCGCAAGAGTAAACATAAACCCATCACAACGTCTTCCCAGCTGTTTTCCTTTTGCTTTTTGTTGGCCCCCCCCCAACAAAGGACACCCAAAAAGAAGCTAGTGAGTCTACTACCCAAAAGGACCCCCCAACAGAATCCCTACGCCCCAAAAATGCCAATCAAGGAGCCAACTGAAACTCTTGGTGCAGCGACCACGTGGGATTCTCAAGCTGGATGTGCCAAATCCAACCAGGCTTGCAAAGCGACGTCGAACAGCAACAACCAGAACAAAGCGGGGAATGTGTTCCTTTACAACCAACGCAATCTCCCCCCCCAAAAAACATAGATAAGAAAGGTGGCGGGTTTCCCTTTCACCAAATGCGCAAATGGGGGGGAGGTGGGGGGTACCCTGCCAAAAACGAGCCTACGCCCATAAGCTCGCGAAGCTCGCGTCGGTTGGGGGGAGACCTTTGGACAGGCCTACGCCATGTCGGGGGATTGCGTCATGGCGTGCACGGACTGCGGCTTCGCGGATCCGAAGCTCAAGGCGCTGCGGCCGATCGCTGCGATGGCTTGGAGAGATGCGATGGGAATGAGGAATGACCCCAGAACGTCCCCAATTTGGTCCTTTTGGAACAACCCCCAATGGTTTTTTTGGGAAAGTTGTGGCTCAAAAATCCCGAAATTCCAAAATGGGTTGCCCTGGCAAGTGGAAACATGGACCAAAACCTGCGGTTTGCCCCTCCTGTTTCATTTTGAGCCACACCCGAATGACCCCACAATGTCCCCAATGAATTGGTCCTTTTGGGAAAAAAAAACAAGGAAGTCTTTGGCGCAAATTTTGCCAAGGCGATCGTTATGGAACAGGGTTGTGGGATCGCTCGGGGTTTGTCCAACCACTTCTGTGATACAAGAGAATCTCCCCCTTAATATGGGGGGTTAGTCTTTGGGAAGCCCTTTTTGTTGCAGGGAATGAGGAATGACCCCACAACGTCCCCAATGAATTGGTCCTTTTGGAAAAAATGAATTCGTTGGCGCAAATGTTGCCAAGGAATGTTATAAGACTGGAACTTTTTGCCAACGAATGGGTTTTCCATTGAACCGCTAGAAGTTTTTCACTTTTAGCAGGGCAGCAGAAAACAACCGAGAACACCATCCAACTGGTGGTTTCCGAAATCAGGGGGCCAATGCCTGCCTGGGTTCATTCCACAGAGCAGCAAGTTGAATTGAGGGAGAGTGGGAACCCCAGATGAATCAACCAGAGATTACTTTCGGCGGTTCCCAGTCGTCCAGTTCCTTGGGTTTGTTTGGTTGTTTTTAGTTGGTTTAGCGGTTCGGTTGTGCAGTTCACCCAGTAGAAGCGGAGCTTTTAGCAGGCGATCCGAGGACAGCCGGACAGCCCAGTTGATTCTGCCTGATGTGCCACGTTTTCCCCCTTCTTTTGGGAGTTAGGGAGTCCCTAACAAAGAGTGGCGCGCCCCCATTTCCCGGGTTACCCAAAAGGGGGCCAAAAGGGCAGGTTTGTTTTTTCAGACTCTCTAAGACGCTAAATTCCAACAAGGTGCTGAGAAATGAATGGCCAATGCTATGGCAAGTTGGTAAGACAAGCGAACACCCGGGATGAAGTCCCTTGATCTACATGCTGCATGTAGACTTCTATTTTGAGTTCGTCTCACAGTTGCCGTTTTCCTTGTCTTCTCCTTTGAAACCACCCAAGAAAGGGTACCCGCCAAAAGGCACCCGGATGGATCTCGGGCTGCCGTCCGATGGGCAAGTCTAAGTGTTTGGTCTGAAGACACATTTGGTGAGCCCAAAAGAGATCACCAACGAAGGTTCTTCTTCAGGATTCCCCCATATTTTCGTGTTTGTATAGTATGGCAAGGTCGGAAAGAGTAGTGAATCAGTGTTCCGAGCCTCTCAAAGATAACCAAACCAAAAGAGTGGGCACAATGTGAGGCTTCTGTTGTTTTCAGGGACCACTTGTTCCAGGGTCTTTCGAGCAGCCTTAGCTAATGTGTCTTATACAAGTTTTGCGGGGACCGATTCGCCGTTTCAGAGCCATTAAACATGGACAATCTAGATGCCTCGAAAAGCTATGATCAACGTCTACCAAGAACACATTGAGGTTCGGCACCTGGAATGACCCACTGTTCTTATGATTCAGCACCTCCCACCAATGAACATGGAACCTGACAGAGGGGTCCTAGAAGACCATTTTCCTTTGAAGGGACCGGGTCCCTGCAGGTTCCATGTTCATTGGTGGGAGGGTAAATGGCCATGGGTCATAACCCATGCCGGGCAAATGAACACCCATGTACCGCCTATTTTGATGTTCACCAGGGGTTTCTGGGTTTTGACCCACAGCCAAATGATTTCAGGTGCTTCACTTGGGACTCTGCGCTTCCCACTCGTTCCTTGCTGTAGCGAAGCTTCAGACCAGCTCTTCCACGGTAGTTTGCCGTTTTGTGCCATATTTGCTTAGACGTCTCGAAGGCATTTCGGTGCTCTTTCCCACTCGTCCCTTTGGCAGATTAACGGAGAGTACGAGCGGTCTAGTCGCTACCTACCCGTACGGGTTCGTAGTTCTAGTGCTTGCAAACACCTAAAACACCGCCCATGATGAATGTAGCGGTGTTTTGTGGAGGACGTCGCCTACTCCAAGATGGCCTCCATGGCCAAAGGCGCCGCCGCCTTGGCGGCGGAGCCGTACGCCGTGGCGCGGTGCAAGGACATGGCGCTGGACGTGGCCCTGCCGCTGGGGCCCGGATATTTTTTGTTTGTTCTTCCATTTGCTTAAGAACTGTTGTGTTTTATGTTCTTTTGTTGGTTTCAAAAGGAATTTATCACTACTGGAAACATGTTCCTTCTTTCCAGGGGTCTTAAGCAAATGGAAGTGTTTATTTTTTGTTTGGGGCGTGCCCGAAATGTTTTGGAGGGACATTCCTCAAACGAGAGTCCCCGAGAAAAGTTGGCTTGTTTTGGAGGGGCTTGCACAAGTTTATGTTGGGCGGCGGGTTCCCTTGGGATGTCCGACCGTCGGCTTGGAGGGTTTTGAGTATGTCACTTCAATGGGCACGACATGTGTTTTATTGTTATAAGGGGCCCGCTGCCTTTGCACTGTCTTGGGCGGCGACCAGACCGCAGATTTAGCAGCTCAAGGCTCAAGACATTTGTTCAGCTTGTTTCCAACGGACATGGCTCAATGCGAGGAATCGCTTTTCAGTGGGTCCCACTGCTTTTGAGACATCGAACAAAGCTGGTTGAAGCCCTCGATGAAATGTTTAATCAGTGTGTTCCCCGTGAGCTGCGCCCAAGTGAACTGAGAGCGCATGCCGATGTTGATTTTACAACAAGATCATACTCGGGCAATCAGTGTTGCACCCTCCGAGTTGGCTTCCACGCTCAGCCAGGCAACCGGGCAACCAAGCGTGCATAATAAACTAGCCAGCCAACCAGCCAACCAACCAGCCAACCAACCAACCAACCAACCAACCAACCCACCAAGCAACCAACCAACCAACCCACCAAGCAACCAACCACCAACTGATCACCTGATCACCTGATCACCTATCAATCCGTACCTTTCCGCGTCTACCCGCGCCTCGGTGCGCGGTGCCATGGGCGACTGCAGCCTCCGAGAGGCCGCCGCGCTGCTGGGAGTGCCCTCGCCTTGCGCTCGAGGTGATGGAAGCCGTGCGGCGGTGGAGAGGGCGTTTCGCCGGAAGGCGCTGAGGTGCCATCCGGATCGCCATCCCAAGGAGAGGGTCGGAGTCTTTGTCTCAAAGGGCTAGATGCTCCCATCGCCACCTCCCCCCCCCCCACTCCCACAGAAGAAGGAGGGGTGTTTGAAGGTTTTAGGTTCCAAGGGCTGTCACTCTCTCTCTCTCTCTCTCTCTCTCTCTTTCTCTCTTTTTAAGAGGAGTTTGGGGCTGTTGATCTGAAATGATTGTCCCGTTGCATTCCTGGCCAACGAGTCTAATGTGTATTGCGCAACTTTTGCAATCCTCATCGCGGAGCTACCGATCGAAAGACGCCTGTGCCATGAGTAGTCAAGTTTTAGTCAGCGCACCCCAGGGCTGTGATATATGCGAAGGCATCAGCAGCAGCTTGAACATTGTAACTGTTCAGTACTCGTACAAGTCCAGTGCCCGCAGTACGCGTTGGCTCCAGCTTGAAGGCTGTTTCGCCTTGGCTCAGTCTGCCAGGACGCCTTAGCCAAGGCGCGGTTCCTCAGACTGAGCCGCGCAAAGGAAGTCCTGCTGCGGGCCTGTGAGCCGTGCGCCACTGTGGCGAAGGCGGCGGCCTACGCGGCGCGAGGAGCTGCGCGAGGTGCGGCGCGAGGCGGAGAGCGGCCGACGGCCGAGGGCGCCCAAAAACGGCGAGAAGCCTTCGCCAAAGAGAAGAGGCAGGCAGAAGCTGAGCGGGAGAAACAGAAGCTCAGTTGCCCAATGCATTGTGCGCCGTTTTGTTTTTCCCGTTTCAGATCAACCTGTTTTTAGTCTTCCAGTCAAGCAACAAGACTCGGGCCTTGAGTAGTGCCCTTTTACTGTTTCTTTTTTGGGGAGGTTCCCCTACTAAAATAGACGAGAGAAAAAAGGATACCCTTCTTCTAACCTCTCTACTGGAGCACCTAGAAAAGCATGTACCCCTTTTTTTCTTCATGCACATCCTCGCGTCCCAGGAAGGCGGCCGAAGCCGCCAAGGAGAAGAGAGAGAAGGACAAAGCCGCCAAAGCCGCTGCGGAGGCGGCGGCCGTGAAGCGGAAGGACGGCTCCTTGAAGCGACCCCCAAGGGAGATGTGTGGCCAAGGGGGGAACCCCCCCACCCCCGCCCCAGATGGGCAAGTTTTGTCCCTTTAAGTTCCCTTTAAACCACCCCCAAAAGGGAACCCTGAAAAAGGGTTTACAGCAACGGTATAGTTGGGGGTCTCGAGATAGGGGTGCCTTTTTGGATGGTTTGAAGGGCACCAACGGAAACCAGCCGAGCCGGTCCGTGTTCACCATCGTTTCCCGTGGCATTTTGCAGTAAAAGGGGATGACAAGTATTTGGCACTTCGGAAGTTGCCGTTTGAACAGAGGGGATATCTACCAAGATCCATGTCTTTCGGGAACAATGTCTAGCAAGATGTCCGCAGAGGGTTGAATGCGACCGACCCCTAAGAAGTAGCATGTGCATTGGGCTTTGTGCATCGACACGCACGGTCCGTTTGTCACACCAAGGACTAGCCATGAGTAGATCAGGGTTCCATCCATTCCCCTTTTTGGAGCCTCAAGTGGCGATGGTTTCAATGGAAACCATGCACCACTAAATTGATCAACTGCGTATGAGCAGGGGATAGACCAAAATGGGGGGAGGAGTGTGCCATCTACTTTCACTCAGCACGACATTCAACCCACTTGGCAAGTTTTGGGAGATGATCGGATGTTAGACACAGATCTAGCAAAAAAATACCCGTCCCCACCTAGTAAGTACTTTGTATTCATGGTTCTGTGTTCAAGGCGCCTTTATATCTACGTAGGAACTTGCCTCAGATTACCAAGCTATTGGGGAAACTTCGATGCTCAACAGCCAAAAGGTAGTGCGCGAAGTGCGGTTTCCCAGCTCCAGCTTGGAAATAGCAACGGACAGTTTCGCAGCTCTGGCTTGAAAATCCTAATTTTGAAGTGGGACAATTACGGTTGCGTAGCTTCCGCCGAAAACCGCAAATCCTATGCCCCAAAATAGCACCACAAGCATCGGCAAGGGTTATTCCTCTTGATTTTTTGCACCAGCTATAGCAGCTTGAATCCAGAACGTGCAGAAAGTTGCAACGAGAACTTGCAATAGTAAATGTAAGTTAATTTGCAGAGAATGCTCAGACAGACTGCTCAGAGAGACAAATTTATGAGAGACATTGCGCAGATAAATTGCGTAGAGAGACTGCGAAACTATTTATGGGCAGTAGCTAACATGCACACCCATACAATCCCATACGCAACCAGGAGCAGCAACTAAACACATTTATGAAGCTATATTTGAAGGGCTAGTTCAGGAACCAATGAATAGCGTTATGCCTTTTCCGAGCGAGCTTCCAGCTTTTCCCACTCTTGGCCCGCATCCCAATCGTCGCTGGCTTGCAAATACGAGCATGTTTTCTCGCAGCAGTTGCACATGGGTGATGGAATGTGAGGAAAAAACAACTTATCAGGTTTAGGTGGTTTAGCATAGCTTAGCTAAGCCTTTGCTGAACCCTTACCTAAACCCTCTCCTAAACCACACTTTGTAGCCCTGACAAACCCGCTGCGAACCTCGGCGGCGAAGTGTTGCTCGTTCGGGGGAGTAATGTTGACCCCGGATGAAGACACCCCGGTTTATAAATATGGGATGTTCCCCTCCGCAAGTGATGAATCCCCACTAAACCCGGGGACACCTCCATATAAATACACTGGGGTTGATTGGTATGGGGTCCACATTGCTTCATCCAACTGTCTGCCCCTGGCAGGAGGCGGCCGTCGCTGAGGAGATTCGCCGGGAGCAGATGGCTGAGGCGGAGCGTCGCCGGGCGGAGATCTTCGAGCGATTCCGACGAAAGGCGAGGAAGACCTCGGAGGCCCGTGGGACAACCCTTCGGTAGGGGGCGTCTCTTTTGGAATGTGATTGTTCTAACTAGGTCCCCCAGCTAGGTGCCCTTTGACCGTTTCGTTTTTGGGGGAGGGTTGCCCTACTAAAATAGACTACAGAAATAAAAGGGAAGCCTTATTCTACCCTCTCTACTGGAGGACCTAGTTATTGTTCTAAGGTTCGCCAAACGTGATGAAGAATCAAACATGAGTTTTTGGGTCGGCCTCCCCTTGCTGCCCCAACATGTTGCGAACACGCATTGTGATGAATCCATGTGTTTTGTTTTCTTCTTCTTTTTCTGCCACACATCTTGTTTGCCCGTTTGTACAACCTTACTACCGTTTGACTTGTTGCACACCATGTTTTCGTGAAACTTGTGAAACAAAGCAACCCATTATTGATACGCAACGCACTCTTTTAAAACCAGCTCTTCATGTCTTTTGCCTCAGATCCTGGGCCCAGAATTTGGCTCGTTTCACCTGGAAAACCGCCCCCTGGAGGCTTTCCACCCGCCTCCCAGGCCGGCGCCGGCGGACGCTTTCCGCGGAAGCTCTCCGCGGCTTTCCCCGCGGCCGGCGGGCGGAGCGGGGCTGCAGCTGAGCGAGCGCCAGCAGAGCGCCCTGAGGCGCCTGCAGCAGCACAGGGAGGAGCAGGTGGCACAGCCCAAAGGCAACCGGTGCCTGATTTGGTCCGTTTTGACTCTTTGCCCCGGTTTTTGTGCGCGTGTGTGTTTTCAGACATGTCCCGTTCTGGCACATGAGACTTACGGTTTCAACTCTTGTCGGTGATGTTCATTTCCCTCTCAACCATCAAACAAACAATGCCAGACTTGGCTAAGAGTTAGCTTGTTGGTCTCCTCCAATAGGATACAATAACATTCAATTTGTAGCTGCAGGCTTGTTCTGTGCGTCCCTTTTGCAACCCAACCGGCGTCTAAGGCAACTGGTTCGTCCGAGACCTGGAGGTGGAAAGGTTTCTGAAACGTGAGACCTTGCACGGATTTGCCTAAGACCTGCAGTGCATCCGGACAGACTTGGAGACCCGAAAAGCGTCCAAGTGCTTCCAAGGGAGCCCAAATGCGTTTGTTCCAAAGTTAGAGACCTGGATGGTGTGCAACAGGAACCCCCCGCCCACCGGAAAAAAAAACGGGAAAACAAAAAAACACGATTCATTCATGGGCGGTTTGTTTCTGGCATGGTTTCCTGAGATGTGGCGTACTTGGGCACTGTGGGCCATGTACATATTGTGAGCTCGGTTTGCAAGGCCAGAATCTTACGGCAAGCGTCCTGTCAAATCTGTGCGCATCCCGGTTGCAGGCAGGAGCCTGAGTCAGCCTGAGTGTCACTTGGGCGTGAAAATCAGCTGCGCGAGAGCGGGGGTGCTTCCCCTAGCAAATCTACTTGCAGCTGAGGGGACAGTGGCTTTGTGCCCAGCGCATTGGGCCTCTGCCACTTGTGACCAGGCGTTCAAAAGTGCCACACGATTTACCCCTCTCTCAAGCGAAAATGGGGCACCCTTGATGCAGGAACTAAGCTCTGGTTAGACAGCACCCCGTCCCCGCGCTTTTGGGACCAAGATGCCAAACAACCCAGCAATTCAGGGCGCAAATAAGCAGGACACTGCGTTTTCTGGTTATCCGCCCACCCGCTCACTTTTTTGAGATTCTGGGCTTGGCACCTTCTTGGGAGACAAATTTAAGCTGCACACACAGAACTGGCTTGCTTTTGCCTGTCTACTTTGCACATGAACAAGCTTTGTACCCCTACCAACTACAACCAATCCCACCCCACCCACCCATCCGCCCACCCATCCACTCATCCACCCACCCATCCACGCACCCCAAAACAGGCACGCGCCCCAAAACCACCTCGCCTGTGCTTCCGTGGCACTGCGGGTTTTCCCAGGTCGGCCGCTTCGCCGGGCGAGCCTTCCACCATGGTGCTGGGGCGCCTGGCCAATCTCAGGGAGCCCATGATCCCTGGCTCCTACGGCGCTTCGCCTGGTGGGAGAGGTCGCCTTGGGTGGGATGGCAACAAACTAGTTGGGCGAGGTGAAAGAAACACGTGGCTTGAAGCTGGGGTGTGTGTGTGTGTGTGGGTGTGTGTGTGTGTGGGTCTGTCTCAAAATCGGGGTGGTGAAAACCGCTTTGGTGTTCAAGGGAACTGACCCCCTGAAAGTCCATGAATTTGGGAGATTGTCACACCATCGGTGGCTGTGCAGTCGGGTGTCGGTTGTGTTGGAAACCCCAAAGCGGTTACACCACAAAGAATTCGGCACACCTCAACACCAATCACGATGCATCAAATAGCATCAAGACGAAACATCCTTTGTTTTCTGTTGTTTGTGTTCCTCTTGCGGAGCATGTGACGCGACACGTACATATTATGCATGCTAGATGTCTGTGCCAGAGCCTTTCCACTTTTGAGGCTACACCATGAACTACACCACGGCCTTGGGCAAGGGAAGTGCCCTCCAGCGGCGTTCCAACGTGGCGATCTTTGTGCCACTGGACGGCCCCTACGAGTTCGCTTACGGGTCGAAGGGCCAGCACAAGGCGGGCGAAGGGTGTTGCTCGCGCGCGTCCTGGTCTGAAGAAGGCTCGAAAGATCGGAAAGGGAGAAGGGCGGGAACTGTGCAAAGTAGAGAAAGGTACCAGGTTGCACCACATTGCACGCTCGTGCCATGAAGGCTCGAGCTGAAGTAGACAGTTTCACATGACGGCCTCTAGGCCATGGATCGCGGAAAACAGGGAGTCCGCGCCGAACACGATCACTTCGACTTGGTAGCGGAGCCCGTGTGTTGCTTTCCTGGCGACCACGGGCGACGGGTACGAACGGCCTTGTTCGTGCTCGTGGCACTACTTGCAGTACTGTGCCTTCGTTCTCTTCCTGGCTTCTGCCTTGTGGAGGAGGGCGAACATGAGCCCAATCACGCCATGAGCTCGCAGATAAAGTTTGCTCATGGTGCCTTGACGCACTCCGGAGTTACCTTACTACGCACTGAGTTTCACATGGGTGGCCTTCCCGACTACCACACCAAGAAGCACGAGCCCGTTGCAGGCAAGCACATCTTTGATGAACGGCTCCAGGGAAACACGCTTGGCATGGCGATCAACGAGGTTGAGGACACCAGCATCGGCGACATGCCGAACGAGCACTACGGCCAGTCCCAGGACAGCGGCTACGGCATCCCGCCGCACCTCAATGACCCCGGCATGGTTCCACCTGGACATGATCAACCGGAGGTGGAGCATGCATTGGCGTTGGATCATCCTAGTGGAGGTGGAATGCAGGTGATGAAGTTGGTTATGGGCATTTCCATCATGCAGCACTTCGTGAGTGGCAACCTGCCGGACATGTTCCAGACCCCGGACAACACCAACGGCACGACCGCTGACGCCAAGAATGGCATCGACAACCGATTGCACATGCCCTCGATGATATGGATACTGATCTTGCTACTGCCGATGGGCGTCATGGCATTAGCATTGACGAGCGGGTTCAGACCAAGGTGGCACAATGGCAACCCCGCGGGTGACTCCACGCATGCAGGCGCAGCGACGCTCAAGGTGCCACCAACGTGGTGCGTGGAGCGGAACGGTAGCTGGCTGAGCGACTTGGTCCTCTGGGCATCAGCCACGGACATGGAGCAGCAGCGGCAAGGGCCGGTGGCAGCACTGCAGATCACGGGTGCCGCCAGAGAAATCATCAGGGAAATCCCGCCGGCCACGCTCAGAGACGGCGTGAACGACAACCTGGGCAATCACGTTCCTGGAATCATGGTGCTTGCCCAAACGCTAGCCAACCGGTACGGCCCCCTGGAGATTGAGTCGAGCTCAAGAGCCTTGTCAGAGTATCTACACTTGGCTCGACTGCCCAACGAACCAATAGATGCTTTCTTGGTTCGATTTGAAGTCCTGCGGAACAGGGCTGCAAACCAGGGTGGCCTCGGAATCAACTCCACGGGGGCAGCATGGCTTCTCATCAGAGCCTGCAAATGCAGTCCCGAAGCCACAGAATGAGGATGAGCTCAACCAGTTGATTGAGCGTTTGAGGAGGATGGGCCATCTCTACGAGCATGGCAACGAGGGAGCACAACATCAGGGCGCCACAGGTCACACCGGCGCCTACGGTTATTTCCCCACATTTGGAACAGGTGGAGGTGCTCATCCTGATCCTTGGCAGCCTCAAGAACAACCAGCACCGGGCGTCTGGGCATGGGCTCTGACCCTTGGGCAGCATTTCTACAGCAACGGCAACACCAGGCAACTGGTCCCGGTTTGGCCGGAGCGGAAGCCACGCGGAGCAGTGGCAACGACCTGGATTACCAGTGCCGCACCTGCGGTACCTACTTTGACGAAGAGTTCAGCTCCGGCACGGACACAGATGTGGAGTTGGACGAGGAGGAGCTCAAGTACTACAAGACCGTTGAAGTGGACGGCCAATCCAGGACGGACGTGGACGCTGTGCAGGGTGAGCTCTACCACGACTACATGATGGCCAAACAACGATGGAGACGGTTCACCGGGCGACCGCCAAGGAAGTACCGGCGATTCAATGTCCGGAGAAATCAGGGTGTGCAAAGACTGCAACAAGGTCCTTACCGCAACACTTACACATCGTTCTTGCCCGCCTCAGCTTTCGCCGGTGGCAAAGGCGGAAAAGGTGGAAAAGGCGGAAAGGGCGGTGGGCACGATGGGCGCCGAAACCCTCGTGGGCGAGACGGCAAGCCACTAGCCTGTGCCAAGTGCGGCAGTGAGACACACCTGTGGCGGCAGTGCACACAGGCTGATCCTCCTGGCTGGCGGCCACATCCGGGAGCAGGAGGTGGAACCTCGTCCCATGGCGGAGGGCCTGGCAATCGACCTGGTGTGGCTTTCATGACACAGGAGGTGGCGACGACGCCGACACCCTCGGTGGCCTCGGGAGGTGGGATGATGGGATTTTGGACCACAAAGAGTGAGCCACAGGACGACACACAGAGCATCAGCAATGCGCTTTACAAGTGTGTCTTCCGCAGGGAGCGAAGTCTCATCGTCATCCACGAGGCGGAGAACCCGTGATGAAGTGTCGGGTACGTCGACACCGCCAACGTCAAGCCCACATAAGAGGTTGGCCGACAGTCCTCCGAACTGGACGCCAACGATCAACATCAACCCGCAGGTCATCCCACTGCTTTCTGGAGCTCAACCCCCTCTACACCCTCCACCAAGTGCCAGTCCTGCGCTCGATGGAATCGCAGCTACGTCATCTACTACCAACCCACAGGAGCTGCAGATCCAGCCAGGGCGAAGTGACATGACCCATGAGGACCAGCTTCGTCAGCGAGCGGTGGATGGCATCAGCTCTCTCATATTGGGCATCACGTCACAGCAGCCAAAGGCAAAGAGCTTTCCCGGATTCGGCGGAAAAGGACACTTTCCTTGGTGGGAGGTTGAGAATGAGATCCCAGGGCAGGTGGGCGATCGGCAGGGCACATACCATTTGAAAACCAGATTGGACGGTAACAGGGTCGGCTTGCTGGTCGACCCGGGCGCTCATGACAACCTGATCGGCTCCCGCACTCTGGAAAAGCTGACACTGCAGGTTGGGCCGCATCGAGAGCGGCCACTCACCAGGAAGCTCACCATCGAAGGCGTTGGCCGTGGAGCTCAGGAGGCGACGATTGCGGCACAAGTTCCAATTTGGATGACCGATGAGCAAGGCGGTGAACTTCATGGAAGCTTCAACGCGCCAGTTGTGCCGGACTCCGAGCTTCCCCCTCTGCTCGGTCTGCGCAGTTTGATGGCGAAGTCCGCGGTACTGGACATGGGCACCGAGCGGTTGATCATTCCTGGAGATGGCGGGCTGCGTGTACAAGCCAGCCCGGGTACCATTGTCTTGCCTCTGCAGGTCAGCGAGTCAGGACATCTCATCTTGGAGGTGGACACCTGGATGCAGTTTCCCGATGAGGAGAGCCGAGTACCACCCGACGACCTGGTATTCACCATGGGATGCAGGCAAACCCGCGATGAGCGGCGTTCGAGGTCAAGAAGTGCCGGGCGCGGAGCTCGGCGCGAGGCTTCTCCATCGGTTGAGGAGCCTGAGCGGGAAGGTTGACAAGTCGCCGGTGGGCGGCAAGCTGCACTGGTGCAGCGAGAATGCATGAGCCAGAATTCATTGCCACAGCTGAGTCAGAATGTGAAGCATCTAGCCAACAGCAACATCTACGTTGGCAGAGGTGCTGAGTTTCTGGCCTGGATCATTGGCGACCGCCAAGGCATCAGACAAGCAGCACTACAAGCTCTTGGAGTACGCACTATGCATTTCCATCACGATCTTCATTCACGTGGTCACGGTCAGTATCTTCTGCGAGCGCTACAAGCACAACAACCACAACTCCTTTGGATACGGCTGGCCGGACCATGTGTGGGAAGCGGAAACCGTCACGACAACAGCCGGACGGACAACCTCATGCAACTAGTGCACGAGCAGCTTGGTGGACTGCGGTTCTGTGTTATAGAGGCGAATGCCAGGAGCCAGGCATGGAACTTGAGACCGGGGCCTCGGCGTTACAGCGCCTGAACGTCACGAGGCACCACTTTTGCAATTACCAGTCTTTGACGGAACGTGAAGCACTACCTTGCAAAGCGGTGATTCTGCTCTACAGCAACTGCAATCTGCCCTCAGTGGATGGTTGTCACTGTGGGCAATCACAGCAGCACTACAACCTCAAGGAGCTGAATAAGACCCAGCAACACAACGTGGAGCAGGAAGTGGTTCACGGCATCGTAAAAGGCTGCGCCAAGCATCTTGTGGCGACGGGAGCATTGGCACAGAATGTTCGCATAACAGGGAGAGACACGGACAGGCAACCTGAGTCAACGATTCCAACAAAGCAGGTTCGAGCGCAGGCACTGCTCCAACATGGAAAGACAGAGTCCGGAAGATGCTCTATGGCATCCTCCTCACGAGAACAGACGGTTGACACTACATCGACATCGCCAATGAAGGGAACCTCATTGCAAGCACTACCAGCACATTCCTCCAGAACAGTCCGTTTTGTGGCTTTTCCAAGGAGGAAGCGATCCGCCAGAAGGACAAGAAGAAGGCCGGTCACGTTGCAGTACGCCGGAAGATCCTCGCGGAAAGACATGATGATGATTGCGGGGAGAACTTGAGCGGACTGGGAAAGAGTGACTTATAGAGGAGACCTTCTTCATGGGCATTGGTGGTCAGCTTGAACTGACGAGTTGGAAGGAGGAGGCGACAATGCTAGAGACGTCGCTCACGCATTTTTCCTATGGAAACGGCAGATGGCTCTTCGGAAGTGGCGTGCAGGAGGTGGAAAGTTCATGCTCCTGGACACCAATCTACATGGTGGAGAAGATGATGGAGCACGAATTTGGAACCTGTGGAGGACATCAACATTCCCGTATCGATGTCATCGAAATGTTCGGTGGTGAGGGTCGAACCACTCAACTCCTGATGCGTCGCTTCGACGTGAAGACCGGTCGCAATTTCGACCTGGCGACTGGAGCGGATCTGCAAGATCCTCGGCAAGTGCGGGCATTGTGGGACTACCTCAAGCGAGTCAAACCCAAGCTCGTCATCATGGCCCCTCCTTAGATTCGGACCCTGGTCACGGTTAAATCGCATCATCAATCGCGGAACCTGGTTGCGTACGCGTCAGGTAGGCCGTGAACTGGGTGGATTATGTGCAGAGGTCGCACGATGGCAAGTTCAGAATGGAAATCACTACCTCGCCGAGCAGCCCTGGCAGAGTGAATTGTTCGCCATGGCTGAGTGGGAACGACTCTTTGCTGAATGTCCGGCCTATGGAGTGGTGGTGGATCAATGTATGACTGGACTTCACCGTCTACAGCCGCCTCGATTACCGGTGAAGAAGCCCACGGAGTTCATATCTTCCAGCCAGGAGCTTCTTGGACCGCTTCAAGGAAGGCAATGTGACGGTAATCATGAACATGCTCAGATCGGAGCATGAACGACAAATCCGGTCTGGACAATGCCAAGCCGACTAGCACAAGTATGGCCCTGGAAGCTTTGCAGCCTCATCGCCGCACGTGTGTATGAATTGCTCAGGTCACATGCAGCATCTCGACGGCAACAGATCTACGTGCAGTGTCCTGGATGTCGAGGGCATCAACGCAAAGATCATCCACAACACACTCGATCTGGCGACTGCAAGTTTCCGGATGTTGAGGCGGCAGATTGGACATGTCCTGGATGCAGAGCCAAATGGCCAAGAGGACATGAACAACACACTCTTGAACCTGGATGTCGGTGGGCCGTGGCGCGAGTTATGACTCCTGGACTAGCTCGTGAACGGCATGGTCATCACCCGCGAGATCCTCGAACCCCAGTTGCAGCCGAGCCGACGAGCACTTCGGATATCGGACAGATCCCTGAAGAGGGGAACCGTTCCAGATGAACCTTCCCTGGATGAAGCTTTGGAACGTGAGCTGGAGCGTGAAGAGAAGGCAAGAGTTCGCGAACTGAAGAGCCAATCAGTCCCAGTGAAGCGAGACTCACGAGGAGCTGATCCCTTGCCTTACGAACGGCTCGCCTCTGATCCTCGCGGAGATCCAAGTTCTGAAGCAGGAGCATCAAGCAACGCTCGAGCTCCACCAAGGAGAAGCGCTTCCACGCCAACAGAGTCGACTTCGAGGAAGCACAAGAGCAACGCGGCAGTGCAAGCCGGAGGCGGTGATGAACCTGGCGGTGATCCGGATGATGGAGATGATGAAGGTGACGAAGCTGATGATCGCCCCCCGCCGTGGGGAAGGTTTGATCTTGGTACGGCGCTTCAACTTCTTCGATCACCTCGGCCGGGACAAGTACGGCGAGCACTTCGGAAGCTGCATATACGTTGGTTTCATGCGAGCGCAAGTCGGATGAACACACTGCTGGCAGCTGCGGGTGTTGAACGTGATGTACTACGCCTGGTGGCGGAGATAGTCGATACCTGCCGCATATGCAGGACATGGTCCAGGCCCGGACCAAGAACGATGACTTCGAAGCCAGTGCCATGGCATTTGGGTGTTTCATTTGCATTTGGGTGTTTCATTTTCTTGGTGTTTGTGGCTTCTGTTGGGCTTTGTGTGTGTTTTAGGCTCTCCTCACACATATAAATGTGTGGAGTATCATGGATTATCATATATACATAAATATCTTTTGCTGGGACCTCAATGAGAAGCAAAGTTTCTAGATGCTATTTGCCAGCGCCTAGGTCAAATTAGTGAAGTCTTTAGCCTGTTGCAAGTGCTTAGTTTGGATTCAAAACACACACTAGCTGCCTCAGCTTGAAACTCAACACGTTGCAGCCAGCCAAGCATTGCAGCCTGTTTGCGCAATTCCTCGAGTTTGGGGCCATACCACAAAACCCACTCTGAAGTCACTTGGGGAACCAAAGAATTTGTTAAGTGGGGTGCGCCCTGGCTCATCTTCAACCTCTCCATCGTCTTCTTCGCCGTCATCCAGCCTGGCAAGTCTGGGCACTCAGAATGCAGATTGGAATGCGAAGGGGGCTGGGTTCCACTTGCCTTGAGTTAGTCAATGTTTCTTAAGAGGAGGAGCCACATTGAGCTGTGTGTGAGCTGGACCTACCCCTGAAATCCAGAGATGCTGGTCAACTCTCCCTTTTTCATAGCGATTTGATTTTACAATGGCAAGGGGTGAACAAGAGGATTTTTATTGACTGGTCAGCTAGTGAGTTATAGGAGTTCCCCACGTGGCCCTTCACTGAACAATTGTCACACAAGTTCCTCAGGCGCTGTGGGCCGTGTATCATTGAAGTTCCCAAGAAGGTCCAAAGCACCTTTGCAAACATAATCGCCTCCTAGAGCTGGGTGCGGGCATGCTGTGTCGTGTCAGCAGTGTCATGTCATTCCAAATCCCCTGACGATGTTGGCATCAACAACGTTTCGCGAGAGTACAAAGGCACACAAAGGCTGCCTGAGTTGTCAAGCGATGCAACTGTCAAGCGATGCAACTGTCCTGTCAAGCGACGCAACTGTCCTGTCAAGCGACGCAACTGTCAAGCGATGCAACTGTCAAGCGATGCAACTGTCAAGCGATGCAACTGTCAAGCGATGCAACTGTCAAGCGATGCAACTGTCAAGCGATGCAACTGTTTTTAGTATAAAAGTTGTTCTGTGGGTGATTGGTTGGAGCAAACATTCGTGCGTGACAGACTGATTTAGCAAGCACTTTCGCTTTCCATCCATCCACGTCAACACGAGCGCCAAAAAATCCGAGGCCAGGAGAAGCCAGGAGAAGCAGAGGCATGCCTGGGCGGCTGGGCGGTGGCGGCGTTGGTTGGGGCGGGCGGATTGGGCTGGTCGGGCCCGGGGCCCGGCCAGGAAGTATGAAAACCATAGGCCGAAACGGCCATGAAGTAAGCAAATAGCTCTAAAGCATACTTGTTAGGTCAAGGTCTTCCATTGCACAGGGGCAGTTGGCAGTAGCCTTAGCCATGTTTGGCTGACGACAAACATTATTCTTTCCTTTCGTGTCGTATGGTCACCACACAGTTTGAATACTGGTTGGTCAGATCTCAACAAGTAATGATTAGTCAAAATGTTGAGGCCCAAGTGCAGCAAGGGTCAATGCTGAGGCCCAACTGCAGTAGAAGCTTCATGGAAAACGCTTTTGCAAGAGCCTTGAAAACAGCTGTAAAAAACAGCACAGTTGCCCTCATTTTGTTGTTTGGCCTTAGACAAGGAAATGAATGTCTGTGCCAAGCTGCCAGGGGCCAGAGGTCACTGACCACGCTTCTTGAGCTCGCGGTCAATATCCGCCCGCGCTGCCTTGAGCTTCTTTGTGGGCAACTTCGACCAATTGGAGGGCTTGTTGGGGATGTCAATCTCATCAACGGCCTTTTTGACATCCTTCAAGGTCAGCTGCCCATATCGCAGATGCACTTTTACGCTCCCAGGCGCATGTCTCCTTCGTTTTCAGCTTTTGGCATGGGCTCAGTCGGAGTGGAATTTCATCATCAGTCTCGTTAATATCACTTTTCTTGGCCCTAGTTACGCAATATGCACTGGTTTGCCGAAAACAGGCATCAGTGATATATTTGGAAGGGTTCAGGTTCAGACAGCCAAGCTTTTGTCATGGTTGCCTATGTAAAGTAGTGGTTGCCTGACTGCTTCCACACACCTTCGTTGACTGCAGGGGTCTTTTTGCGCAGAGTGTAGGCCGAGCCAATTTGCTTGGCATCCAATGGAATAGACACACCTTAAAAATAGCATTTGGTAGGGCGTTTGCGTCGTGCTGAACTGCAAGTGGCTTGTTTGAATTTCAGTACAAACGCACGGTTTGCAATGGCCCCACTCAGTACAAGACTCACTGCTTTTTGTTGTAAGCCACGCTTTCCAAAAGAGAAATACTGACTTGCAGTAAGTAAGGCCAAGCCACGCGAACTTCATGCTCATGGCTGTGCTTAAGCCCTCGCCCATCAATTCGGTGATGAGAGTTGCTCGGCCAGAATGTGGTCGGAGTTTGGCGTATTCCTGTTGCCAATTCTTGTTGTTGTCCCTGAGGTGTTGCAGGAACAAAAATTGTTGTCCCTGAGGTGTTGCAGGAACAAAGGGGCCTGCTTCTTGACATGGCTGTAGACGGCGTGATAGTGGACGTGGTCATTCTTGGCGTTCTTGCGGCTGGTAAAGAGGAAGCCACTCTCTGGCACCTTGTAGGTGTCCTCTACCTCGATGACTTTCCTTTTCTTACTGCCTGATTTGATCGTCCCATGCTTGTGCCCTTTTTCGCGCTTGACGGTGTAGCCATTCTTCAGGAGGGAATTCAGCCAGTGGACGTGTTTCTTTCGAACATACACATCACCTGGTGATTTTTTGCCTCCTGGCGTGTCACCAGTGACAATGATTTTTGGGATATCCGCTTTCATGGCGATATCCTCACGCTTCAGGGTCAAGGCCTCTGAGCAGCGAAGCCCAAAGTTGCCGGTGAAGCTTAATATTACAGCCATGCGTGCTCCACAATTGCGTCCTATGAATTTAATCCAATCTTCCCATGCTGGTCTACTCAGAGCAGGGGCTTGGCCCAACTTCTGTTTCCTCTTTTGAGGAGGCATTGCTACCAACTTGGGCCACGACAAACTGCAACACAATCTGCAATGCAAAGCCACCATGCAACCTCACTGCAAATAAAGTTGAGGCCCAGTTTTTG